AGCAGGAATAAGAGTAGCGGCACAGCATCTTCTAACTCTACCGAGCTCCAACCCGATGTCGCCTGAAACACGATGCATCGTAGCACCGCTCGGTTCTCCGGTTCTCGTTGAAATCGAAACGCGATCGCTCACCCGATACACGTTGCTCGACCATTCGATCGCTTGCAGTCGCTGGAGAATTCCACTGTCCCGAAGCAGCAGAATGCTGAAAACGGAGAATCGAGAAGAACGGGGGAGAATCGCGTTTAAAGATGATTTAACTCACTTGCTGTCGATGATGCCGCGATAAGGGCTTTGCGCCGGCACCGCCATGGCTATCGTCGTTTGCATCATCACGTCCAGAGGTTCGAGGGCGCACCCGACTTTTCCTTGCAACACCGAGACGGTATTGTCCAGCGTCATGAATGCGTATTTCTTCTTGCGGCAAACGCGATTCAATCCTTCGAGGTAATTCTTCGGCAAGTCGGTCTCCCTGGTCAGCAACTCCTCGAACATGACCGAGAGCACGGTGTCCGTGGTATTCTGTTTTTCCGTGGGAAACAGATAAACCGCGTTCAGAGAAGGACGGAGGAGAAGGGGAAAGAATTAATTTAGCGCGTTTACCTGAAAGAAATCGTAGTCGGCCGAATCGGAGACGACCGCGAATCGATATGTACCGTCCTCTAGCAAACCCTCCATCGTGGTGAACGGCATCGCGAACGTGTCGATGGCCAGGTAACTGATCAACGCCGCCGAGTAAGCCGCGAGCACCACCACCGCCGTCAAGTGAACGCTCAGATGCACCAAGCGTATCGGATCCAAAGTAGACGGTTCCATACCTGTTCCACGCCCCCGTCGTTCGTACGTTTACCTATCTTACCATTCGGTTTTGTCTCGCGCCTCGGATCACGTCGCGAAGCTTACCTTGTCCGCAAAACGCGCCAAACACGAAGAACGCGATACCGAAGAGCTTGGCCGGGGAGAATCTAGAATCCAGCGAAAACGGATCTAATCTTCTGGAAAACGCGTCGATCCCGACGATCGTTAGATCCACGATCACGATCGTCAGCGCGATCGCGTTCCAAACGTTGAACGCGAACGGCGCCAGGTACGCGTTCCATTTCACGGCTGTCGTGTCCGGTCGCCTGATGTACACGCGGCATCTGAACGTGAACGAACGCGACAAGAAGAGAAAGAAGAAGAAAAGGATAGAAACGGGGGAAGAATGAAAGTCGGGAGGAAACGTGTCACGCTCACTTGGTCGAATAAATGGGCGTGGTAAATCTTACGGCGTCCAACCTGTCGGACGTCATCATCAGCTCGGCAGCCGCGAGATCAGCCTCACCCTCTACCAGCATCCTGATCAAACCCGTCCATTTGCCGTTCGGCAGTCGCACGCCCCACGAACCGGCCTCCGCGTAGGTAAACCTGAAAATTCATCCTCTCGCTGATTTCCTGCCGTTGATCCTACGAATCCTAACTGTCCCGCGAAGTTTTCCGCGAATCGACGAGAACTCGCACTCGCCAACTTCGCGCGCGATTGCTTCGCGACCGAGGCGAGATCGCGGAGAAAATCGAGACGAGGTGCATGCTGCGCAGATACTTCGCTTCGAGATACCTGGAACCAGTCAGTCCCAGAGATAGTGCCTCTCCGTACGTACATGCGTGCATACGTAGAAATTGTGGAAAAGCCGGGAAACGGCTAGAAAATATGACGGAACGACGAACCGTAGCATGGACGTAGATGCGGATGCTCGACGTTATGGGATCGCGCGATCGCCACTCCTCGTCGATGCTTCAGCGAGAGGCGTAGAAGAAAGCGGTGACGGACGGAAGAGGAGACGAATGGTTCGAGGAGAGATCAGCCGCTAAGCAGGAGGAATACTTCCGGAAGGTAACTGTCGGGCAACTGAAGAAATTACGCGAGCGCGGCCTGAAGAGAGAAGCCGACGATGGAGAAAGAACGGAAGGAAAAGACGAGAAGGCGAAACGAAGAAGCAAACGCCAAAACGTGAATGCCAAGGATGCCGATGTCGCTCACGCGAATATACTCACGTGCAGTTCATCCCCTCTTGCAATAGGTGAATCACCTCGCCGAAGAAACCGCCGATTCCGAATGTCCGGTCTGTCTGGTCTGTCTGGTCGCGAAAAATCCTTGAAACCGGAGGATCCTGTCGGTGTAACGAGTAACGAATCAGCGAACATCGTTCGAAAGTACGTACCATTGCGATAAACGTCGTTACGAGACATCGCGATCACTCACGTGAATGGAGACAACCCGTATGTTGCGCCCTTGTAGATCGTGCCTGCGTTGATACAAACCGAGTAGCGGCCCGTGGAATCCCTTCGACGCGTTCCACCAGCCGAAATTCATCGACCTCAGACCATCCTCCTTGTCGATTCGATACACGTCTTGCACGATCTCTCCGGTCCCATCCGCGTCCCTTTGAGTCACCATCAGGACGCAGTCGAACGGTACGTAGATGTTGGACAAAAACTCCTCGATTTTCGTGTCGTCTCTCAGAAATACCAGCCACGTCGGGTAAGCCATCGTGATCCATTTGGAAACCTGTTTTGTTTCCCGTTTCGATTTGTCACGGTTCGATTCGTCTCGTCGACAATTTTCGATACACTCACCAGAACGAACTGCCGCTTGATCTCGTCGAGATCGTTCAGCAACACGAACAACGGCCTCTTGATACGATGATAGGTGTTCCCTAACTGAAAGAGTAGGCGCGTGGAAAATTTACTTACGATAGCGTAACCTTGACACTTACCCGACTCTTGAACATGCGAAAATCCATGACCGCGGTCCGAATGCTCAAAGAACCGCTCAAGTACCTTTGAAGCGTCAACAATCCGTCCATTTCTTCCAATCCTTAAAGAATCGTTCCACGTTCCGTTACTCCTCTCTTCGAAATATCGCTCGGGGATATCGCTTACCTTCGCTCTCTACCGAATTCCTCGAGCCGTGGAAAAGTATCACGCAAGTATTGTTGAAGTAATCGTGTACACCCTTGATCAAGCTCTCGTACACGTGAAGCGGTCTTATCAGAAGAGGTTCGGCATTCGCTGGGGATGAAGCGGGGTGCGAGCTCCTCGAAACGCACAAGAACGGTAGCAGTAGCAGCAGCAGCAGCTTCGCGTCAAAGTACCAACGAAATCGGATTACCCTCATCGCGTTGCCGTTCAATTACGAGTATGTACCCCGCGGCGACGTCCGTCGACGATCACGATTCGCGTTCACGACCGTCGCCCGATCAATTCCGCTCTCCCGATCTTTTCCCGCAGAAAACCGAACGGAACCTTTTTCAGTCGGATCTCGTACCTTTCCTATATTCGCTGATCACCCGATTCGCTCGAAATGCCGCGATTATCCTAGAACGATACTCTGGAAATGGAAAATCGACGGTTGATCGATGGAATCGCGACGGACATGCCCGGATAAAATCTGCGTTCCTTCACGGACGCGATAGTTGCCTAGCCCGTACCGTCGACTAAAACGCAAACAACGTTGCGACCAGAGATTGATCGCGATGCCTTCAAACCTTCGTACTTCGAATGTCCGTCGTGGCTTCTTTACGCGCTCGACGTTCGCGTGCGACGCGATGCCGCGACTTTGACCAGCTACGCATACACCAATTCGCTCCCACGATTACCGTCGTCTTGCAATTACGTCTGGCTTGGGTAAAGTAAACGAAAAATCGGGTCGATCGACGATTCGATTTTCAGAGAGAGAGAGAGAGAGAGAGAGAAAGAGAGAGAGAAAGAGGAAAGAAAACGTTTCGTTCGATTTCGCTAGACACGCAAACCGGAAACGTATCGAGGTCGACGAAGAGACGAATTTAAAAATTCGATAGGTTTTGCTTCGAAAAAATAGGAAGCTACGCGACGACAACGTCGACGTTATGAGTAATCGCTATGCGACCTTTCAGTCCACCTGTTATTATTTTCGTTTAGGTGACTCGTCCGTGGAAGACTGGGCAGGGGGTTGATTACCGTTCGGTGATAAGCGCCGATTAAGCACGATAGGGGGAGATAGAGAGAGAGAGAGAGAGAGAGAGAAAGAGAGAGAGAGAAAGATAGAGAAGGGAAGAGATAAACCTACAAAATATTCGACCGACTCAATTTTCCGTTTCACCGTGCATTTACGTGACTCGCGAAAGCATGCAAGGTCGTAAATTTACATCGATAACGAATCGAACGGCTATTGCGTGGAGTCGTGGAAAACGATAAAGGGGTAGAAGACAATCGCGATTTCGATCGACGAGCAAAAGTCGAGTACGAGTCTACGACGACGACGACGACGACGACGACGACGACGGCGATCGTGATCGAACAGTCGCCCGATATGAACGCTTTGGCCATCTTGTTTCTGTCAACGCTCATCTGCGCGTTGGGCGGTGGACCTAGTCGATGCATCGCGGTTCCAACCATGTCCGCCTATCAAGGTATCGTTCGATTGCGATTGCGATTACGATTGCGATTACGATTGCGATTACGATTAACGATTAACGGGTTAATCGTTTAACATTAATCGAAGCATTCGTTTACCGGAAGTACATCGACGCGAACATACGCGAGCAAAATTCGTCCTATTTAATCTAACGTTTCGATATTTCGCGTGATCGATTATACGAGAATCCAACTCGTTCTCGGTTAATAGGACAACTGACCCGTTTCGAACGTGTTTCAGCAGGTATCTCGGCTCGCGTATGGGACCAGGACGTCGCGACGTTCCATCGCCGGGCGCGCTCCGCTTCGAATAACAGTACGACCAATAGCTCGCCCAACAGCTCGACCAACGGCTCGACCAACGCCTCGAACAACGGCTCGACCAACAGCTCGACCAACGGCTCGACCAACAGCTCGACGAACGGCTCGACCAACAGCTCGACGAACAGCTCGACCAACGGCTCGACCAACGGTTGGACCAACAGTTCGAGCAACGGCAACAACGTTACGCGAAATCTCGGACCAGAGTTACCCGGAAACGTGACCAACGAGATCGTTTGCGCAATCGATAACCTTCTTTTCGATATCGAATCGATGCTTCTCTCGTGGATCGACTCGGATGAAACGGGTACGAGCGAAGAAACGTCGGAGAGCGCGGAAATCTCCTTGTACGTGATACAGAGACATAGAAGGGCGTTAGTATCGCAAATATCCGATTTACTGCCAAAGAGTCTGACGAGCTTTATGCAAATTCCTGTCGATTACCTGCACGAATCGATGGATTCGGCGCAAAATTTAATCGGCCAACAAATATCCTCGGTCATAGACGAAGTGATAAGTACCGTATTAAACTTCATGTCGACGAAAGGATTGCCCGCGATACACAGCGCGCTGAATGAAATGGCAAAAACAGATCGCTTGCCTGCCAGTGTAAATAACATGATCGATCAGTTCAACTCGATTTACGAAATCTTAAAATTTCTGCGTTTCATAAGACCTAACGGCAACTGATTACTCCGACTCGTACGACGATCCGTGCAACTTGAGAGAAATAGTTGCCACGCGAATAAACGTTTGCAGATCAACAGCGAAACGTTGGAATTTTTTCTTCTTTTCAAACCCATGTTCACCGACTAAACGACCAATCCCATTTTCCTTTTATCTATGCACCGACCTACTCTTCGTATCCTCGTTTTTCCTCTTATCGGTTACCACGTTTCTCACACGTGCCTATCTTTCTCAATTTTACTCTCGTCTTACGAAAACGCTCGTTACACGAACAACCGCGAGAACAGAGAGAAATCCTCTCCGCGGTTTTCATGGAATGCGGGTATACTTGCGGATTATTGCCTGTATCACGATAAGCGGGATAGGATAGATTGACGAAACCGCGATGCGGGACTCGTGTTTCTTTCGATTCGTGGATCTTACCTCACGCGACTCGCCGACCGATTTCTTTCCGCAAATCGCGTCGTTTGACCGAGAAACGAGGAAAAGTCGCGAACCAACACTGAAAGCGAACGTTCGTAAAACGGTGGTTACATAAGTCGAAGGACGCTTCTAATCGAGCATCGCGTCATCGAGCTATCGGACTGGTCGCGGTATCGCGTGTACACGCCTCGTTCTCGCCGCGAATCGTTACCGTCCGCGCTCACGGAATCCAGAGAATCATGGGAATCGGACGCGATCGGCTCGATTAAGGGCCGTTGCAAATATTGGACTAATCGCGACAGGCATCGATGCACCGGGGAACGAGTCGCGTCCAAGCTTTTGTCGCGTTGATGACCGTAAGCGTCCGTGAACGCGCGCGCTCGACCGAAGAGCCTGCTCTCGACGCCTACCGTACGTAGTTCCCAACCTGGTACCATCTCCTCCACCATCTCCTCCGCCACCTCCTCCCCCTCCCACTCCTCCTCCACTCCTCCTTCTCCGTTACCGCGAAAATTACAGCGAACGCGATCGAGACGTCACGTGGTCGACCAAATCTAGACGACGGACGTCGAATCGTGCAACGATTCTTCATGGGATTCGCGTGTTTCGCAACTCGAGAATACTCGAGCAACGGATGTTCCTCGCGAGCTTACGCGATTATATTCGTTCGTGGACCATGGTGCGCGCGCGCGGGCGGACGCGGACGCGGACGAGTTCGTACCTATTCGTTTTTCGCGACGATGCAGGTGAACGCGTACGCACCTGCGGGCCAGCGTGCGTCAGTTGCTCGCGAAATTGCAATTCGTTCGCATCTTTCTCGCTACGAGGTGTCAGCTTTCCCGAAAGTAAACGAATCCTTGGGGAATATACGATCGACGTGGATCCACGGAATCGCATTTCCCGCTGCAACGAACCGACGCGACGATCAAACCCTTTCCTTTACCGTGCTAATTTCCATTCCGATTCCGACACCGTTCCTACGCCTTTCGTCCATTCGATATCGTTCTCTCGTCACACCTCGCCGCGACGATCCATTCGCGAGTTTTCCCAACGAGTTTCATTTACATAAGCGATTTCGGCGAATCGTGTGGCGCGCGCGCGCGCGCGAGCCAACGATCGCCAAGATCCTTGGCACGGTATCGGAGCTCGGACAGACCGTGCCTGTGCGCGCGATGCGATCGACAGGCGAGCTATAAACATGCCGACGATCGCTAGTCTTTTCCTAGGGATCGCGATATGCGGATTTCTCGCGAAAACAGGTAAGAATACTCGATCAACCCATCCATCGTCGATCCATCACTCGTTCGCGATCCCTCTGGTTGCAGAGGGAGAACAACCCTGTTCTTACGCTAGTTGGGAGAAAATTGGTGGAGTGAAACCGGATACCGTCGAGTCGCACACGGTTCTGTATAGCGCGGTCAACTCGAACGGCATAACGAAACCTTGCTTCGAAAGGTAGGTGTAGGTGCGAGTGTTATCGTTAGCGCGAACCAACCGGCCAACGATATTCAACGTTTCTCGAGTTTCAGATGCAAACGCGTAAACTGCACCGCGTTCGTGATAGACTTTGGTAGAAGCGTTTGTTACAGCGTAGAAACGGAGGACGATGAGCTAGTGCCCGAAGCGAATTCCATCTTCTACCATCGAGTCTGCGCCAAGGGTAAGTCGGAGATGAACGATACAATGGCGAACGAAACGGAGATGATGGTTCGCTTCTGTCTATTATCTAGTTCCAGCGAGCTGCGCGCGACGTAGACTTTGGCAAGTGGAGAGGAGTCCGGGAGCGGTGTTGATCGACTCCGGTGCCTTCCATCTGCCTCACCCGATCACGAGGAATCGATGTTACGAGAAATGTATAGAAGCAGGTAAGCCAAGTCGATTGGGAAACGATTCCGTGATCGATAACGAGCGCGATTTCGTGGCAGGAAGGAGCTGCGAGTCCGCGCAATTCCGCACCGCAAAGCCGCTCTCGTCCGACGAGACCGCACTCGGCCGATGCTCCCTCTCTTTGCACGAACGAGGTACCAGACCTCGGGCGTACAGGGCATCCATGTACAGGGACGAGTATCTTTGGGACGAATGTCGAAACCTCTGTGAGCGATATTCCCGTGAAGCGGGACAGCGAATCGGAGAGAAAAATTCTCCAAATGTTCTCCCGTGTTTCAGCTAGACGCGAGTATTGCTCCTACGCGGAATTCCAGAACGCTTCGCTACCGTACTCGGATGTCGCTCTAATCGATCTCGACGAGAACCAGGTAGTATACGCACTATCCACCTAGTTATTTCCGATTTATTATCTATCATCTGTTATCCGTTATCGTATTCCGATTCGAATCGGTCTTCCTGCGTGAATCGTCGTTGCAACGATCGAATCGACGCACAGTGCGAGAGAAGATGCGATTCGAGCGTGGATGGTTTCGTATGTCGAGGATACACGTTCGATAATTCGTCCGGCGAACCAGTTTGCCTGTTGCATTCGGAAGATACCAGCAGCCTCGGTGTTAGCTCGCTAATCACCGTCGCCAACGCGATCTACAGGGAACGGGAACCGTGTTTGGATCGTGAGTAGCGAATTCCACGCCAATCCCATTCCACCATATAGCGCCATCTTTCCTTCTTTCCATTGTCAGTCAAGGTACGATGCAACGATTCCACCATGACGGTCGAGTTAAAAACCAACGACGGTTTCTACGGTCGAATCTACTCGAGCGGGTACGCGGATACCTGTGGCGTTCAGGGTACAGGAGGTAACCGTACCCTGTTGACGTTACCTGTCCCAGCCGCGGACAAAATCCGCGATGGCAAACTCCGCTGCGGTTTGAACCCCGCTTTTTCCATCGACGATCGAAATCGGTAATCTCTCTCCTTTTCTCTTTCTCTGCCCTTTTACGCAAATTTTCCTCTACGATAGACAAGAAACGAAACGAAACGATCGATTATAGAACACGGCCTTTAGTTTGGGCAACGATCGTGATACAATTCAATCCGATCGTTCAACGACTCGGCGATCAAGCGGTCAAAGTCGGATGCTCGTTGAACGAGCAAGAACGTCCGCAACCGAAAAACATCACCGTCCACTCGAGCTTCAGCTTCCTCGATCCAAAGTGAGAAACTTCGACTCGCTTATTTCTCTTCACTCGCGCGCCCAATTCGCTATACGTCGTTTTTCATTTTTCATGTTATTTAGCGCAGGAGTACCGCCTATCTCTTCCACGATAGTCAACGCATCCTCGCAAGCGCCATCGGTGACCATGAAAATTTTGGACGAAAACTCGAAAGACGCGATCGTCACGCATTTAGGACAAAAGCTTACTTTGAAGATTCAGCTAAACCCATCGGACGGTAAATGAAATTGCCCCAGTAAATAGCTGGCAATCCCTACCATTTCTCTCTCTTTCTCTCTCTCTCTCTCTCTCTCTCTCACTCTCTTTCTTTCTCTTTTTCTTTTTCTTTTTCTTTTTCTTTTCCTTTTTCTCCCTCTACACATACGCACGAATAGTACCAAAGAATTTCCTACGCTTATACGTACATGTACGTAATTTCGTATATTCGACGGTTTCGTAGGCCCTTATGACATTACTGCCGGACACCTCGTAGCCAGCAGCGCTTCTGGCGATGCCTCCTATTTGTTATTAAACCAAGTCGGTTGCCCCACTGACCCAACCACCTTCCCCGTTCTCTCGAAGGATCCAGACGACGGGCGTTCCTTGATCGCCACTTTCACGGCCTTCAAGTTCCCCGACAGTCAGCTAGTCCGATTTAACGTGATCGTTCGATTCTGCTTGGACAAATGTACCGCGGTGAGTCAGATGCGCAATCGCGACTACTACCTCGTTCTTCTCTTATCGAGCTTCATGATTGATTCGTCGTGCGTTACAGACCAACTGCAACGGTGATAAACTTTCTTACGGAAAGAGAAAACGAGCCAGCGAGTCTTGGAATGTATCGACGGCTTATGACACCGAAACGGAACGAACCAATCGAGATGGAACTCCAGAGGAGTTACCGTTGCAGCTCTCTATAATCGTTCAAAATCCCGTCGCATCTTCGGCTGATCGTTTATCTTCGAGAGAAAACGGGTCTCCCGATACCGTGTTAATCACCGGAGATGGTAGTAGTAGTAAGTCTCGTCATCTTTCTTTCCCTTTTTTCCACCCATCTTATTATTTCCAGGATAAAAAGTTCCCTCTTTCTCTTCCTCTTCTTCTTTTTCTTCTTCTTCTTCTTCTTCTTCTTCCTCTTCTTTTCCTCAGACTCTGTGGATGGACTACTTTGCATCGACGCTAGTCTTGCTTTGAGCCTGCTGATTTTCGTACTGATCGTACAAATCGTGCTTATCGTTGGCTGTCTCCTAGTCGTAGCACAGTACAGGCGAACAGCCATACGAGCGGAAGAGGACAGAGCCAATGTCTTGGCAAGACATTTATACGGTATTCACGGAGGAAACTTTGAAATTGCGCGAAGAGTCAGATGGGCTGATCACAATGCTTCCTCCTTATCTCGCGGTTGACCTCCGACTCGACCCGATTTCGTTCCATTAGACTCGATTCGGTTCGAGGCAACCACACGCTTCGCACGCTATCGATCGAGGTTTCTTCAGTTCAACGAATAGATGCATTAGCGAGCAACGAATAGCGAGAATGGCAAGACACAAGGATGGAGTAGCAATCACTATCGATCGAAACGTATATTAAAGACGAAGCAACGATGAATAGACAATTACATAATTATATGCCCTCAACTAGTCTTCTCGAGCGTGCTGCATTCGCGATATTCCTTCCATCAACCAAACGTATTTACCACGAAAGCATTATCCTACCCTTATTTTCGAACTGCATTTTCCGTAGTAATTTATCGAAATGTCTGCAACAAATAACCAACGCATTAAACCGACAGATTATTAGCTAAGCAATCAAATACCTAATCTACGCGAAAACGAATACACGTGAGTGCGAAACTCTCCTTTCTCACCTTGTTTTCCACATGTCACCGCACAGCTTAGTTGCCCTGGGTTGTCGTAGTCGACGTTGTCCGTTCCGCACACGGGATTATATTCCGGCGTTGTCTGAAAATAATTTCATCGTCTCTTATTAGCTACGACGATTCGTACCGTCTTTCATTTTTCGATAACTCGCGCGTCGTTACAGGCGACTATGCATCGTGAATAAAACTCGTTTCAAGGATTTATATTACGTATCGAGAGTTAATCAGATATGATGATCGTAAGGAACGAATCCCCTCATCTCGTATTCTTTGCAGCAATTTTTATGCCAACGGAGCAAAGGAGGAAAAAGAGAATAGAAATTTTCCATCGCTGCGTTATCCGAGGGAATTATGCATCGCGAATAGACTCGGTTCGAAGATACACGTATCGCGAATTAAACAGACGTGATAATTGTAAGAAACCACCGCCGTTATCCTCTATTCTTTGTAGCAATCTTTATGAGAACGAAGCAAAGGAAGAAAAGGAAGAAAAGGAAAAAAAAGAAATTGTCCATGACTCACCGGACACACCCTGACACAGTTATCGAATTGGGGATCAACCGCAGAAGTTGTGGTTGTCGTAGCTGTTGTGGTGCTGCTAGAAGTGGTAATCCTTGCTGTTGTGGAATCCTCTGGTCTCGTGAACCTTCCGTTTACCGGTCCATCGAAAATGAATCCATCTACGAACGTGTTGCTTACCGGTTCAACCTCAGCGTTGCCACCATTTTCGTCCTTCGTATGATCGAACGGCAATTAATCGCTTGTGAATTCGACAAAATGTTCTCGCAATTGTACGATTAAATCTTCCTTACCTGTGGAAACGCAACCACGTTCCTGCTCGATGCAATAGCTACAATTGTAACATCCGTTCCCAATGTTAGAATGTAAAATCATTTTTTGTACCATGCTCTCCTCGTTATGCGATACATACTCACCTAATATTAGATAAAGTAACCACATTTTACTTAATTATGCGCGCCTTTTCCTCTTTCGCACATTCACTCTCTTTTATTACACCCACACACACACACACACACGCGTGCGCGTGCCCTCTTCGATACGATCCTGTGTTTATGCAACGAGATCAAAGGGTTTACTGAATGAAAACAGACGTCTGCGGACTTTTATAGCTGACGCAGATGAGATGTAAGGTTAGTAAGCAACAAGTAGCAGCCAATTGAAACGAGAACTGACGGTCGTGCATAAAAATACACGTATAAAAAAAGCGGGAATACACTGGACTTTCCTGTTTTAACACACTCTATACGTTGTACAGTCAACGCCTTTAAAGATAAGCAAATCCGTCATTTTATGTAATCGTCTATTCGCCAACTTTTATCCCCTTAATTTCTACTCATTACGTATCCTAAAAGTAAACGGCGTTTATTTGATTAGTTACGCATAATTTTACTCGCCTTATATGTATGTACATTAAATCATTACGTCTGGAAATTCCACTTTCCGAAAGATTCATCTCTCAAGGTTAGTTGTAGGTATTTCGTTTCAACGATTGGCGTTCTTCTTGATTTCGTTCAGTTAAAAATCTAAACTTATCTACAATAAAATTTTACAAATATTTAAGGTCGTTTCTATTTAAAATTTTCTACAATAATCATTACTTCAAGGAAAGATGTAAAATTAATTACCTCTTACTTCTCAGTAAGTTAATAGTATATTTATATACTCCAATATTACACATTTTTTTGCCTATGTAATATTTGCACGAGTTACAATGGTAACTGACTACAGGCAAACATTAAATTAATACCTTTTTTTAACGTAAACTCGCTACTGTCTGTCTATCTGTCTCTCTTTCTCTCTCTCTTTCGCTTTCTCTCTCTCTCTCTCTCTCTCTCTCTCTCTCTAACTACAATTTATACAATTTTCCTTACTACATGAAATATTTAAACAACGAGACATTTCAATTTTGCGTGTACTCACACGCTTTGTATACAACTAAAAAGAATTTTGCACAAATATTTTTTTAATGCGAGTGCAATTCTAGTTTTACAATTATGTACGAAAAGCATCGAATAGCGACATAAAGTGTTGCAGAATAAATTTGAATCGTTTCGATAAAAAACATATTTATCAGACGCAACACACGTACACATTATCGTTGCGACGTGTTACCTACGATTCTTAATTTTCATCTTTATATTTTACGAATCTAATTCATTTCATCTCTTAGTTTTTTAGCGTGTAATATAATCACGTTTAAACACCGTCGAAGCAAAACGTATATTCCAAGCATGAAAATACTTCAAACGGTACGATTCCAATTTTATTCGCTTCGAATATTATGGTATAGATCAACTGTAACATTGTTTGGCCATACATTTAAAAATATATTGCCGTGCATAATTCAAATATATCTTATATGAATGTTAAAAGTGAAACATGAATTGGCAGTTTGCAGGAATGATAACGTTGATACAACATTGTGCTAAACTATCGTTGTGGAGTCTTTTAAATAAAATTTCCATTTTCCTGTTTGTCCGAATATGAAAATAAATCTGAACGCTGCCAAATAACTATCAACAATTTCACCTTATTCACTCGCCCAATTTACCAAGGATTCGGTCAAGGAGATTATCCATTGCTTCCATTTTGACATTATTTTTAGTTTTTTTTAATTTTTTGATTTTCTCTATTCATCGAGTATCTTGGATCGTCGTTCATGCCAACAATGTCGTTTTATTTACGACTGTTCAGGCTGATATGCAGCATAAACTGTTCCAGCCTTTTTTTTGGCTAAATCAGTTGCTTTTTTCGCAGCATCCTTTACCTTTTCCGCTTTACCTTGTAATGAATGTTGTATATCTTCCGCGAGACTGGTCTTTGTTCCAACTCCTTCGTCGACCTGTAATAAATATAAGGAAACATGGAAATACAAATTTTTATTTTCCACGCGTAGATTATTTGTTATACGTGACGCTCTTACTAGATGAGCAAAACCCATTTGAGAAAGCGTTGGATTCATATACTGTGCCGTATGTGGGAACATATGCGCTAAAACGTAATTAAATCCGTTATACATTGAAGTACAATTCTTTTTAAACCTATCCAAACCAAATGCCTGAATAGCTCTACTAAATCCAAACACTTGACTATCGATCCATGCTGATCTCTTTGCTACTGTCCAATTAGGATTTTCTTCGCAAACCTTATAAACAACCTTCTCCGTAATACTCTACGAATGAGGAAAATTATAGCAGTAGTCAAGCACAAAACAATTACTATACGATATTTCCAACAAACATGTTGCACGTGCTACATCAAATTACCATGACTTTAGTGTAACCTAAATTTCTTGTATATGTCGTTAAAGTTTTTGTTTTAGGATCCACCATACTCTCCTCAATAATTTTTACCGAATTTTTATTAATAAATCGCTCTCCCCATTTAGGCACTCTGTTGGTTTTTGTCAATAGTCGTGTTGTGTATAATATACCATTTTTAACCTTCCTCGATACTGTATCCTCTGTAAGTACATGGGTACTGGAAAGAAATAAACCAAAAAAGAAAATAAAAGAAAAATAAAAAGAGACTCTATTTCAACTTAACTTAACCATTTTTATCATATATTTGTCGATAAATAATATCGGTCTGTCACAAATTAAAGCTAAACGCTTGCCTGTTAGGATTCGGATATCTCTGCCAAAAACCATATGCCACTTGAGTCCAATTAAATTGAAAAATTATACTATTTTCATAGTATTTAACCATTCTGTTGACTACTATAATTTATCCTAACCAAGGAATAAAGTTAAGACAGTCACAGATGTTTCTTTACAAGAAACAAATTGAATCATACATTGATGATTTCTAGTTTCAATTTGTGCCTTATGATCTGAAATCGAAACAAGCATATATAAATACATTACTCTTGTAAAATTATGTTTATACGCACGCGCGCTTATTCATGGCATATAGAGAAAATCCAGATGTATGCAAACTTAATTTATTTTAATTTATTTTTAATATCCTTCGAACTAGTACTATAATTGACACTAAACATAAAATGCTGAACATAAGTGTTTTATATAATAAAAAGATTTAACGTTTACCCGACAACGTTAATTCATTGCTGAAAATTCAGACACGTGTTGTATATTTTGTATTATGAAAACCATCAAAATTATAAACGTATACAAAACCAGGAGCAACATAAGCACAATTGAATTAATACAATTTTATTCGTTCGTAATGTGCAAAATGAGAAAAAAATTTTTTAAGTCAATAATTATTGATCCAATAAAATTACATAACCTTCTCTCGTATTTGAAATTTACCAGCCAATTTATGCATTTAATTATTAATTACCAACCTTTGAGCACATATTACATAACATTTGTAATATCACCAAGATGCCACCAAATTACAAATATGCACTGATCAATGAAATTTTATTAAAAAGCAATAAACTTTTTGATAATGTAAGAACTATATGGAGTATACGAGAAAGATTAACTTAACCCGATAAGACATTTTCGCGTTTGACCTCTTTTCTGAATATACGCTGTTTTATTTAAAAAATTACACCGATATCAGTACAAAAACTTAATGCGATATTTATAACATAATTATGTTACTTACAACATTAATAAATTACGCTTTTTTCATATGAAATTGTAATTTAATTTTGTCGCGTAACTGATAAAACACGACTTGTTCCACTGTCGATATTATCGAACTATTCTTTACCCTATTCCACGCATATTCACACCGTGTGAATGTATTATTGTATACCTATTATGAATCAGTATAGGCAACTTGCATTTAAATGAGCAAACGAATAAATTGTTTGTATAATTTCAATGAAACTTGTTTCTTCAAAATTTCTATGCAAACATAGCTACTTAAACATATAAATTGTTACAGTGAAACACATTTTGTGTCTAACAAAGCGAATTATGTACCGTTAGTCATGTATCATTTTTCTGTATGAAATGTGGTACGTACGTAACACCGAAACATCAAGAGATTACCGATTTTCATTGTTATAATGGCGAATTAAAAATCAATTGATTACTATTTTCGTGTTGTTTATAAACAACTAAAAGTTACAAAATTGACTTGATCATCGTTAATTGTTTAAAAAGCTAAAAACTTAAAAATGCCTATAAAGACAAAGGAAATAAAAGGAATATTAATACCCATAGAGGAACAAGTAACAAAAATATAACAATTTTCTGACGTATCCGTATTATCGAATTTCTCAAAGAATAACAATATTCTAATATATTTTATATCTCAGGTAAACAGATTGAAAGTGCTGATAAACAGTAACACTCTTGCTGCAAATGATTCTACGTCAAGGAAATCGGCCCTTTTGGAACAATTGGCATGTCTGGGAGAAAAATTTGATGCTCTATCCAAAGAAGAGATTAATGATTATGAAGAAATGGAATCAAAGATAACTAGTATCGTGGAAGAATTTTGTTCGCTAGAATATATAAATGAGTCTGTACGTTAGAACAGAATGTCAACCAGTTGCCTTTTAATTTTCGTATAAAAATCTTTTTCAGATTGAGAGTATAGACAAGCAGATGTCAGATCAGATTTTGACGACTGTGTTAGAAAAATTTAAATTGACACTCGAAGCTCTAGAAAAATTAGAATGTTTGCCATTGAAACAAAGATTAACAGACTGTTTAGATTATGTCAGAGAAATGGGCCAAGCAAATGAAATTGAACATTTTCAAAATATCAAGGTACAAACAAATGCAGATACAGATATATACCATATTATTTTCTACAGATATACTATCGTTTACTTTAACATTGCTTAATATTCTATTATCACTAGGAGTTGGGCACATCTATTTTGGAATTACTCGGACCGCTACAGATATACAGAAAAAGCTTAGTATGTCAATCTCTAGCCGAGAATATAGTACTATACTCGTGTCAATTGTGTGCAGCATTCAGATTGTTAGTGCAATTAGTACAAGAGCAACATCGGTTAAATGCATCTGTCTATGTAATTATTATAAAATATTTGATGATATCTACACATTGTACAAGTATGTGCAAACTCTCTCTAATAAGACATTTATACCTTTATTCGTCTAGAATTGCAAAAAATACGTCTGTGATAGACTCTGCTTTTGCTTGAAGATGATTATAGAAATATTGGATACATCAGATCCATTACCTAAGGATGAAGCATTTGAACAAAAAAATCATTTTGTTTATAGGTAATCTAAACGAATAATTTCAATCGTTCCTTTAAAGTAACGACAGTTCGTACTGGCGCGTCTATCTTAACAATTCGCTTTACATTTAGAATGGACCTAGTATTGGATATTTTATCGGAAATGCCGAATAAATCGCAACAAGATCAAATACTGGAATGCAAAGATTTATGGTTTCGCATTGAAGATGTGTTCTCCCATGCAATGGCAATTGCACAGGTTTGCAAGCCTTGCAGTTTTAAAGCAATAACTGGGACTTGTCAGTCCATTATATCGGATTATGAAAATTTGAAGTTTCAATTAATGTCTGAATCACCTGATATAGCATTGAACAATTTGTTTATGAATAGTTTGAACGACGCACTTTATCGATTAGAACGTAAGATTAACGTGTCGGTACTGAATCTTGTTATGGAAGTTTTTAGCGATCCTTTTCATGCTTTGAGAAAACTTGTTACAATCTGTGGTAATTCATTAAGCGCAAAGAAACGATCTAAAAATGATTTATCTAATGCTATAGAAGATTTCGATCAGATTATAGACAAATCTATGCAGATTGGATTATTCGCTATTGCTTCTTGCAAAGATAGAAATCGTAAGTTACCTTAACTCTATGAATTTTACTACGAAATCAACATTGTTATTAGCTTTCCTTTATTTTCTATAACCTATTATCTTAGGAATTAATCAAATACGGAATTGTTTGGCAAGCCTCGAATCTTTGGAGACCGAATTGATTTCCGCCATTACCACGTTTTATTTACATCCAGAGAGCAAAGAAATGCGGGCTAATGTAAAATTGCTAACTGCACAGTGGCAATTGGAAGTTAATAAATTACACGATGCAATCAATCTGATTATGGATTCTGCTGCTTATTGTCAGGTACACGGTGATAAATTTACGACAACAGAATGATTACGATATACATCAAAGATATATGCTGAAGAAAAATTTTGTACGCCATATTCTTTATATTTAGGTTGTTTTAGACGATCTTCATGATCGTATTTCAATAATGTCGAATTGTCTGGATAATAGAAAGCCTGTCACTCAAACGCAGGTACAGAATGTTGTGCTTAGATCTTTGTCGCTCTCTCGTCAGATCAGTATTACCATAAACGATATTGGCAGCGACATCGTTGAGAGGCAAACAATAATGATGATTAGGGAATTAAAAGCTGGTAAGCATTTGTTAATTGTTGTTACATTAAAATTTTTTCCTTTTTTTTTTTTTTCTTCTTTTTCTCCTCTTTCTTCTTCTTCTCCTTCTTCTTCTTCTTCTTCTTCTTCTTCTTCTTCTTCTTCTTCTTCTTCTTCTTCTTCTTTTTCTTCTTCTTTTTCTTCTTCTGTAAAAAGGGATTATTTTTACGAGATCATAATTGTTTTCATATTTTGCAGCAATATTTGAGGCTGATGCTGCTTCGAAAAGTCTTTTAGTAGAAAATGCTACAGAACCACAGCAACTACGTGTGATAAAACGGTGCGAATTGATTTTGAACGTAGTCAAAAGATTACATCCGGCTTTAGTTGCTATTATGAATAATACAACATTGATGAATACCAGTTACGGGAAGAACGGCAAGGGACAAGGAGATACTATTCACAGTATGTTATACACTTTTTAATTACTAATTAAGTTTGGTTATTAGTCTCATTATTTCGATATATTACTCTCCTTTGCTAGACTTGAGTAATAAATTGATATCTACAATTTATGGATTATCCAATGATCAGCATCATCAAAAACCTTTAGCCTACATAAGGACCCCTTATACTGGTAAAAATAGCGTTATATGAATGTTATCAATTCATCTTCGCAATCATTTATTCTTACTTTTACTCTTATTTACATTGTACATGTTTTTAGTGAGCAATTGCAAATCATCCTTATCCATACAGACTGCAAATAGCATTTCTAGAACACAACTGAATTTATCGTGTTTAATCCCTTATATTAAAAAAGGACGCGAGATGCGCACCGAACATTCGGTAATGTATAGAACACCATGCAAAAATGACTCTATTGATCGATCATTGGCCGACGTTAAATTAAAGACTCGAAGTTTGACGACTATTAGACAACACCTTTTTAGTAGAGATAGTATTGGTTCTCATGATGATACTTGTTTATCCGAGGAAAGTATGAATCTAACAGGTAATGTATTCGTGAATGCAACAGTACTTTAATTAATTAACTGTTGATATAATATAACTTTCAGGTGTTTTAGAGAGATTTGCAGTTTCTTATACAAATTTGACTGTATCCTCATCAAAATCTCATCATGTCGAGAAAATGCAATATGATACAATCGCTGACGCTTCAGATAAAAAGTCTGTGAGATGTTTGACCGAATCTTTGGTTGAATGCATCGAAACACAGTCTGAAATGACAGCTGGTAAGATGGATCAGTGTTCCACAATTGGTGGAGGTGATGGACCATCGATCGTTAATATATCGAAAACTTACGATGATGCTCGACGTTTAAGTAACAACACCGAAATGACACAAGAACGATTATTTGGAGATAAAACGTAGCTATTATAAATTACATTCATGAAGAAAAATATTAATCTTCATTGAATTTGAAGTTTCAGTATCGATCTGAAAACACGCACATTCGCTATTGAAAGACAGTGCCTACAAGGTAGTTCCTGTTAAATACAAAAATACTATATTTTCAGAGAGCGAAAGAGATTGTGTGTGTATATGTATGTGTCTGTGAGTGTACAAATTTTACTTATAGCCAAGTTCTACTTCAACTTACGAATGTTAAGATTTGTAAAATTTTCATTAATAAAGAGACGTTTGTAAACTGATTTGCGTTCTAATTTCGATTATTAATGAATATCGATTATTAGGCAATTACAATTCGTAATATCGTATCGAAAAGGTGAATACGTATGCGATTTATCGTATCTCGAAATTCTCGTTTGTGAATCGAATATACGATCTATTGAAATAAATCGAGAGATTCACGTGACTCTCATTTACATTGGTAAATTGGTTGCTTATTAGGTTCAGCCCATTTGTATAGGATAGGAAGAAGTTATTTATTAAACAGAAAAATGGGAGCATCATTCGTACCAATACTAATTTTTACGTTATTTTGGGGAATAATAGGAATTGTCCTACCTTTTTTCGTTCCAAAAGGTACCAATCGAGGGTAAGTTTTCAATTATAATTGACAATTATTCTGTGCAAAATTCTGATCGTTTAAAAACTTTTTCTCGTATAAGAAAAAAAATACATTGTGCTAACGTTATCAGTTTCATTAAATTGCTATCACGCTAAATTGATTAATAATATCCTATTATATTTCTCGTTACAGGATTCTTCAGGTTATGCTTATGTTGACAGCTTTTACATGTTGGTTGTTGTAAGTTGAAAAATGTCAAGTAAAATTGTATTTATAACTAAACTCTGTTCAGCATATTATTTTATTCTTTTCGTAGTTGGTTATGTTGTTATATGGCCCAGATGAATCCTTTAATTGGGCCAAAGCTACCCAAGAATACAATTCTTATGATGGCACGTGAATGGGTAAATGTATTTTCTTATTACAACAATACAGATATAGCTAGATGATTGGTGTTAATTAGATAGGAATAATAATTATAATTAATCATCTCTTATTACAACAATATTTCTTACAGAGCAATGTTCAGTTTGATTGAACGATAGAGCAATTATAGATATAAAACATTTGTTATGGATGTATCAAACTATCTTCAAAAATTCTATAACTAGCAAAATTTTATTACAACGATGGAAGTGAAATATTTAGTTATTTATGTACATTGGAAATATTAAAAAAATATGTATCAAATATCAGTATTCTGATGAAGTAAAATAAAATATATATGTCATAATAATTATAAATTTTCATGTAACATATAACATTGCTGTATTAAAATATCATTGTATATAAAGGGCATGTATATTATGTGTCAGTGATAATAATGATAATAACAACAACAACAGCAACAATAAAAGAAATTTATGTTCAAACGATATTTTATTGAATATTATGTACTGTTACACCGCATTTCAATTCCACCCGATCCTTGATATCATCTTACGAGATTTACATTCATTTTACAAACTTTTATGGATAATTGAAACAATCGATATTATACATAACATACATTCACATACGCGCGCACTCGTGCGCTACTATGTGTACAGAAGATTCGTGCACACGCGCGCGTACGATCGTGTATGGAATATATACATGGATACATGCGAATACAAAAGGCTTGTGGTATAATGCTTGCCTCGTCGTCGTGTGCGCGCGCGAGGTGTACATCTACGTATACGTGACTCGTGCCTAAAGTAAAACTGACAAGTAGTGACGCGATTTCGCCAAGAAAAACAATAATGGAGGCGTGTAATGTCGTTGAACGTGAAGTTGACAAGATTTTATTAAAATTTGGCGTAGTAAACGAACATGCAGAGACAGTACTACAGGATCTGATAAATCACATTGAATCTTTAAAAAAGGAATTTGCAGAAGGTAAACTGATAGCTCTCCCGCTATTTACAATGTTACGTCTCATTGACAGTCCATAAATAAAAAAATAAAATCTTTCAAAATTATTGGTATTATTAGAGGACGTATAAAAATGGAAATGGGTTTTCAAGATATTTATTTCTATAATGTAAATGTAAATATACAGATTGGGCATAATTTAACCTGAAAGACGATTAAGTTTTCCAATTTTCCGTTCATATTGTAGCGTCTAATTTCAACCTTTTTCTCATCACAGCAATTCAGAAATTCCTCTCGCATAAAATATTTCGTAATCATCTGCGTTTTTCATGATTTTTGTATCTACACACACATACATACATACATACATACATGCATATATGACTACATATATATAGATATGTAGTTTAGTTCTGCAAAAAATTTAAATACGCTTTAATTGCATACAACGTTAAAATTATATGTTGTTTAAAAATATTGAAATCTTTTTTCCATTAGCACCATCTAATCATGAATTAACGCCAGGGCAAGTACAAATATTAAAAGAAGCAATGAAAAAGGTTTGCGAAACTGTGCATCGTTTAACCACAGAACATAGAGAGTTACATGGTTCCGTTTCAAAAGTTGGGAAAGCGATAGACAGAAATTTTACAGCAGACTTTGCAAGTACAAGCAGGGAGGATGTTTTTTCAGGCCCAGAAAAATCACATTTACTAAATCAAGTTATTTGTCAGCACTTTTATCGTCATGGTATGTTGGATATTGCAGCAGAATTAGCCACAGTGAGTCTACATATTCAAGTAGCAGGAATACCCTTTTATTTGGTTTAATCCTTATAATATGGAATAGAAGAATATGTTAGATTGTATTCTTACAGGAAGCTGGAATTAAAACTGACGAAGGTACAAAGGAACCATTTACAGAATTAAATTATATATTGGATTGCTTAAAACAGAGAAATTTGGAGCCAGCACTTGATTGGGCTAAGAAACATAGGGAAGCACTTTTGACACAAGTACGAATAATATCATTCATTATTGCTGTACAGATAATGCTATTATGGTGCAAATATTTCTTACATTAAACTTTACTTGTAGAATTCTTCTCTCGAGTTTAAGCTGCATAGGTTACATTTCATAAGACTGATTCAACAAGGGCCTAGTAAACAAACGGAAGCAATAACTTATGCTCGTCAAAATCTTACGCAATACGTCGGACGTCATGGAAAAGAAGTGCAAGCATTAATGGGCACACTACTTTATTTACCAAATGGAATACAATCTTCTCCTTATAGTCACTTATTGGATCCTACTTTATGGCTGGATATTCACGATGTATTTACAAGAGAAGCTTGCACATTATTTGGCTTAAGTGTGGACAGTCCCCTTTCTGTCTGGTATGTTTTCCCATGGTTTGTTAAGCTGCTATACGGGTAAGGTATATAAATCGACAAAAAAATAAAAAACCTTGTAACACCGTGTTTCAGTATTAACGCGGGTTGCACCGCGTTACCAACACTTTTAAATATTAAGCAAGTTATGCAACAAAGACAAGTGAATACCGTTTGGAATGGAAAAGACGAATTACCTGTAAGTAGTAATTGTTGCAAAGAGGATTAAAAAATAATATTACATTATTTAAGTGATATTTCCCATACAGATCGAAATAGACCTTGGCAAAGAAGGTCGTTATCATTCTGTTTTCGCTTGTCCAATCCTAAGGCAACAGAGCACAGAGAATAATCCACCAATGAAATTAGTCTGTGGACACGTTATTTCGAGAGACGCGTTAAATAAACTTACCAACGCAAACAAGTAAGGCTTTTAATAATGAAGCAAGTTCAACTCATTAAGTTGAACAATAAAACCGTTTACGGAACGAAGAGTAAAATATATTGGAGGTGATGATAATGTAAGAAAATGTAAAGAGCAAACAATGAATTTTATTTTTCAGATTGAAATGTCCATATTGTCCAGTAGAGCAAAATCCAGAGGATGCTAGACTTATATATTTTTAGAGTACTGTGATATAATAATGCGAATGATTTATAACGCTTAAGCCAACGGGAAGGATACTTGGGTCGAATCATCGTATGCCGCGAACTTGGATGGTAATCGTTATTTTTTATTTTGCTTAGTGTACTAATTTTTTATCGTATCATCGAAGCGTTAAAATAACACACTAGCACATTGTACTGTCAGAAAGTGACGCATCTTTTGTAATTATTCTAATGACGATAGCCGACATCGTTTTAATATTTCAATGTGCGCGCGCGCGTGTGTGTGTGTGTGTGTGTATGTATATTTATTTATTTATATTTATATTTATGTTATATATCTTCATATATGCGTAAGCACGATAGTATGATTACAATAGTATTAAGTAACACGTTTTGTATATACCGCTGTTGAATGTTAATTATCAGTTAAAGTTAAAGTTGTTTGCGATGATAGCTATTAATGAAATGATATGTGAATTGCATAAAAAAAATCGATGTGTATCAGCGTAGTCGTATTATAATTCTTTTCGTTTGTAACGTAGAATCTGACTTTCGTCCGGCGAAGATTATCACGTAACTGGTCATTGATACGTGTTCTCTAATAAAATATTTTTCTACCCTGAATATTTAAAGAATAAATAAATTAAATATTTTATGTGCGCGTGCGTGCGTGCGTGCGTGTTTATGCACGTGTGTATGAGTGTGTATGTATGTATCATAATATATTGAAATGCATAACGTATCACAACCAAAGAAAATATCTTTTAACTAGTAATCATAGCAGATTTAAAAAACGTTAATAGTTCTTTTTAAACTTGCCAAACACAGTCGTATAATATATAATAATTTCACACGTTAAACACGTAAATGTTTATTTAAATACACGTATTGAACAACGTACACATAAACATATCATGCGTTTCAACGACAAATAACGTCGAATAACACTCGATTCATTGAGATAAAGTTACTTGTAGTGAATAAGATATATCTACAAGATAAAAATTTCAGATATTTGGAGCACCGCGTTCTCATGACGATACCATTGGGCAAAGACCCGATGATTTTCACACCGTGCTTTCTTCACATGCGCATTCTAATTTCATTTCATATAATATTTTTTAGTATACACACACACACACACACACGCGCGCGCGCGTACACGTCATAGAAATACATAATACAACTGCATCGTTTATCGAGAATAAAAAATATCTTTTTCCTTCTCGAATCTTGCTATCTTTCAATAACTACACAGCAGATTAAGTCGGACCCATACACCAGCTAATTAAATATATGTATATGCATACATGTATATATGTTATATAACGAAAGAGGGCAAGAAAAAAGAAATGTATTGATAGTTTACTAACTTGTGCCGCTCGCACACAATAGCTGTTGGAGATAAAATTATGCACACCTACATACGTATACATAAGACACCTGTTTTTTAATTCGTTTTCATTTAGATTCAATGAAATTTTACTTCGACAATCGATCGAGCTTAAATGAGAATCGATCAAGGACGCGTAATTTATCGAAGATGATCGTTCGACTGAGCGATCTCGTGCGCCAAGAAACTTTCGTGTCTCGTGATATCGCTTATTGTCTGTTTGCAATAGCAGTTATCGACGAGTTGTTAAATCGTTAATCGTAAAGATTTCCCTCGAATTCATTCGTCGCGGAACATGGAGACAAAAGGATTTCAAAAATAATAATAATAACAACGGATAGGCCAAATAGATTATACACCATGGTCGAGGTTTTTGTCATGCGCAATAGATTTTTTTGTTTCAGATAAATTATAATTTGGATGAAAAGAAGAGAATGAAAATGGAAAAGCTGGCAAATCGTTGCCGATTAACAATGAAGTTAAGATTCCGTGAGCATCGAGTACACTCCGTTATAATTGCTTCTTAAATACATACGAATATGTTCTATATTTACAGAAATGTAATCCTTAATGAGAATATATATCGCCCTGTAACATTAATGCAGACAATTTATAACGATATATCGATGCATAGTTGACCCTTTATCGTTTCCAATCGCAATACTTTAATTCGTAACACTCGGTCTTAGAAATCGCCCGTAATTTCGATTCACCTTCACGAACACGATGCACATGCTCTATCTTTTCCTTTTCTCAAGTCTCGGTCATGATAAATATCCATGATGAATTTGCAAATCGAATTGACTCGCGTTTTTTATCGGGAGTAGGTCGACATTCGCATAAACAGCGTAATGCAACCACGAGAATTCATCGAATTCGCGGTGGAAAGCTATTGTACTACTATTATACTACGTCAATTAAATTTCTATTAACAGATAACCTCTTTAGAGACATATATAATATTTTGGTTTCGTCCATTCTTATTGAAAACGTTTCAATAAGACCAAATCGTTCCAACCTTGCACACTCGTAATCCATTATACATTTTTTCTTTCACTTTTTCCTTTTTTCTTCTTTTCTTTCTTTGTTTATAAATTTTCATACGCAGTAGCTTAGGATCCGAACATACGGAAATACGTACTATTTAGTTTTCGTTTGTAACAACCACCTCATTTGTTTGCCGCGATCAAACAATAAGTAATATAATCACAATATGATCAACGAACTTTTAGGATAATTTATAACGATATACATAAACGTTTCGCGATTAATTTCTATAGATATGTTCTATCTATATCTAATATATATTATGCGTAGTATGTTATGCGTGTGCGCGCGCGTGTCGACGATGCGCATGCGCGCGCGTGTCGACGATGCGTATGCACTTATGAAGACTGGTGCTGCGTATGCAGGGAACAACTAGACAAAGGACGCGTTATTGTTTCTGCAAGTTCTGTTTCTAAATCCTATTCCTAAAACATTTAGTATCCACGACGTATACGACGACAACGAAAAATGGTATCGACTTGTGTCGTACTGTGTTAGATATATATTAGTAAAAGAAAGCATATATATTTTCCCCCTAGAGTTTTCCGCCGCGAATTCACATAAAGTTTATCGTATAATTTGCAAATTCATTGAACGATCTGACAGCTTGTTCGTTCGATGATTACGGCTTCGTTTACTTGGAATACAGTTATCATCGTGCAGTCGTTGGAGAATGTTCAATCACGTTGAAAATTCAATATTCTTCTGACTGTTGCCAAACAAGCGACCATAGAAGATAAAGAAAATGCTGCAGTTATCCGATCGACCTGACAAGTACGAAGCATCGCGACGAGAATGAGTCGAAATTCGTTATTTTCTTTCCCCGTTGACAAAGACAAAGCTGCGAATCTTCAATCCTCGAGATGTTTCGTTTCGCTGTGTAATTAAATTTACGCAAAGCGTGACTAAGTAAATCGGTGATGTTTCCGTGGGCAATTCAACGCGCATATTCGATTAAACCCGAAAGAATTTAGAGAACTCTTCATTATGCCTACCCGTCATTATCACACACGGTTTCCCTGCAGCCATTCAGGGAATCCAAAGCAGGCGGTTCTCCTCTAGACGAGATTAATTATATTTGGAACGAGGATAATATCTCGAGCGATTGAAAATTCGCGTGATTTGCACTTTGCACGAGCGAACGATATTTCAATGTTGGATATCATACGTATAAGCCACATACGCGTGTACGATATATCGATGTATATTTTGCTTTGGTGCCTCGATTAATCGACGTAAACGTTGTATGTATCCGTTAGTTATCGCGTCATCGGCGTATGTATGTATGTATACGGTTCTCTTGAACGCACACACTTAATTCTTACGATCGAATGCTATATGTATGTACAGCTTGCGCTAAACATAGAAATAAATAATAATATTTTATCTATTTGTGGAAACGTTATCAACATATCGCGCTTCCGTATTTAACATTTAACTCGTTGTTCCATCTGGAGAATGGCGAGAACGAAATGCGCATTATTATTCCGTATTCAGAAATATCCGTTCGTTTATTGTTCTTCTTCCTCGTTCTGGTACGTTACGTAGCGCACAGAGGATTTTTCGCCAATTATCAACGACTAAAAGACAATCCACGATTAATACGTAGATCGATATGTACGGGATAGACATTAATTAGGATTTTACTGCAGGTCGAAACGAACTTTACCTTCTTCTCCTCCTTGGTTGGCGGTGCTCGCAAGAAATACATCAATGGGGCGTAAATAAAGTTTAAAATGGCAATTCCGAATAACATCCACTCGAAGCCGATGCTGTTAACCAACGTACCGCTCAAAGCAGGACCTGGTAACGAACAATTATACAGGAATATATCGTATCTGTACAATATATCGTGCGGCATAAAAAATATATAAAGATATAACGTTTATGGAAAATTGAAACGAAAGTGAATATTTTAAGTAGACGCCTGGAAAGAAAGTACATAGAGGCAATAAGACGTAGGCATCGGTGGTTCAGTGGTAGAATGCTCGCCTGCCACGCGGGCGGCCCGGGTTCGATTCCCGGCCGATGCAAAATTACTTTTTTCTTTTTTTTTCGTTTTGTCTTCTTTTTCTTTTTCCTTCCCCCTCTTATCTGCTCTATATGTCACGTTTGCATATACGCGACATATAAAACGTTTATACGTATGCGCAACGTGATTGCGTATGCATACATCCGTATTGGCCGTATATTTGCATGCATGATACATATTTATTGCAATTTCATCAGATTGTTGGTATACGTACCAATTGCGAAACCTAAACAAAAGGCAACATCTCCAATGGCATAGACACTGCCGTAAACGGCAGTGTGTCGTATGTCGACTAAATATCCTAATTCAGGCATCATGGAACTATCCACCATGCCTATAGCGAATCCCAAGCCGGCATTAGGTACGATCAAATGGTCGATACTTCTAGCCAGAGGTATCTGTAATCGCGAGAACAAGATGGTTCGAAGAATCGTTTAGGAATCGTTTAGGAATCGTTTAGGAATCGTCTAAGAATGGTCGATATCGCGGATGTGGAACGAAAAGTACAAAGAAATAGGATTTAATGCAGCAACTGTGTAATAAGATACTTACGCACATGAGGCAAATGCCAATGACGACAAGACCGATCAACGAGGCTAACCACCTGTAATAGAAAAATTATACTTGCAGACGCGCGGCAGTTGTAATTTATGAAAATAGCAACGAGGAGAAAGAGAAATATGCATATTCGAAAAAATGAAAAGAAAAAAAGGAGAGAAAAAAGTAAAACTCGCCCGAACAGGGACTCGAACCCTGGACCCTCAGATTAAAAGTCTGATGCTCTACCGACTGAGCTATCCAGGCGATGATATCGACGTTTCAATTTGTTTTCGACTAGTCGCGTGGAATGGAATTTTCGTAAACGAGGAAAAATGTAATATTTTCGAAGAATGGTTAAAACGCTTATTAAAGACGCTTATTAAAGATGCTGGACTATCTACCAACCTGCCCATTCTATGTCCGAGCGGTCCAAAAAGATTAGTGCCAATTAAATAACTAATGCTGGCCGGTAGAAACGTAGCACCTTGCTTCCATCTACTCGCACCCATCGTATCCATCATCCAAATCGGAAGACTAGGCTCAAGCATAGCGATACCCATATTGGCGAACGTGATGGCACCTAAAGCGAAAGAACGATCGGCGATGGATCGGTGAGGAACTCGACGAATAAGAACGATAACGTAGTCGTAGGAAGAAGAGAGAGATAGAGTGAGGAAAGAACGGATACGTACCGGCAGCTAAAACGATGTAAGGATCGGTGATGAGGGATTTGAGGGACGGTGGTTCCGCCTCGGTGTACACGACAGACGGTTGAAGCACCAATAGCTGTAAAACTGAAAGAAAAACGGTGAAGCGAATAAGGGCGTGGAGGAATAACTAAGCGGGCGTAAAATAGTAGCGGCGTGCTGGTGGCGATCACTCACTTCCATCGCCAAGGGCCAAGGCAGAAAGTATCAAGAACGGAGCAGACTTTCCTACGAATTCGTACATGACACCGCCAAACGGTGGTCCGATGAGGACACCAAGGGCCAAACCACCGAGCGCGATACCCATCGCGTTTCCTCGTTCCTTGTCGTCTTGGTACCTCTCGGCCAACATGCCCATACCTGCGACAAACGTAGACTGGAATTACGCGTAGCGTCGGAAGGATCGATCGATGAAATTCCGTTGGATCGGAATTCCCGTTGCTGATCGATTTCTGCTAATCGCCGCCGCTCAGACGCGAATAATCGGTTATACGATAAGTAACCGATCAGGCATTCCTCGGCTTCTCTCTTACCCGATACACTGGAACACGAAGAGCCTATTCCTTGAAGCGCCCTCGCTAAGAACAGGATGCCGTAACTTCGTCCAAAGGCAAATATCAGCGTGGAAATGAACATGATGATGAAACCAGTGAACATGGGTATGCTATAACCGATTCTAGAAATAAAAATAACGGTGTAATGGGGAATTAGAAAATTGGGAGAGAAAATTGGAGAAGGATTGTAATGGACGGATGAGGCTGCGATGGATTCGCTTACTTGTGAGTAAGAGGACCGACGATCGGATTTGCTAGCAATTGAACGAAAGCCTTCGAAGCGAACATTATTCCAACGGCCACCGTTTCTTGCAGTAACTCGCGATGTCGTTGTTCCTTTTCTCCCATCTCCGCTTCCGAGTTGGTAATATCACCGACGCTCGTGCTCTCTGCGCGACAAGAGAAAGGGAAATCCGTTGGTGATTAACCAGCGAAAGCAGGCAAAGGTAGAGTAATAATAGAGAGAGAGAAATTGCGGAGAACTTGTTCGACTTACCGAGCATACCGGTGATCTCGATGTTGGACGGGGAGGATGTGGTCGCGTAAAGAAACTCCAATTGAGAATCGTTGGATTTGCTCGGGGCACAGGGACATTTCGGCGTGGTGGTTACGTCGGAGCTAATAGACGCGATTATATCGCTACTCGTTGGTTGTATACCAGTGAAAGTCGTTGCACGCGAACCACTACCCCCTTCGAGATGTTCGCTCAAGGTTGCATTGGGATGTTTGATATCGTACAGAAATTCCGGTATAATGGGCACTGTAACACACGTTCGTATACGTTCGCGATGAGCATCCTGAAGAATTAAGCATAGTTGCTTAATGTATCACCATAATAATATAATAATAGCGTAAAATTGTTTAGCTCGACACGTTGTTTCGCGTCTATACGTTACAACTCGGGGGTGTAACTCAGTGGTAGAGTGTCTGCTTCGCATGCTGAAAGTCCTGGGTTCAAATCCCAGCACCTCCAACAGAGAGAGAGAACGATCGTATAATTTTTTCTTTTTCTTCTTCTCCTTCTTTCCATCTCTGTTCGCTTTTAGCGATTTTCCGACGAAACGACGGAAAGGTAGGAAAGGGTGCGAAGGGATGAAAATCGTAGGAGAAGGCGCGTATGCGAAACGATGGGTAAACGGATGGAGAGAAAATTTGGAGATGGGAAATGGGAAAGCGGGGTTGAAGGAGGTGCGGTTGAAAGGACAAAGGTAAAGGTTCGCGATCGTTTCATCGGGTCTGAAGCGCGTTTCCATGATTTGTTAGCGCGCATGTGAGAATGGCTGAGAAGCTGTTTCGTATACGCTACATAAATGTATGACCACTTATCTGGATTGCCAGAACGGCGTACGCCGTCCGTCGTCAGTCGTCCCCTCGCGTATATTTGCGCGCAGAATCGTGCGAGGGTCATAGAAACATGTGCCTCGTGAATTAAACATCCACCGAGTCCGCGATAAAAGAAAGCCAGCCTCACCTCGGCCCGTTATCGGCCGAGGAAAGGAAAAGCTAAAGAAGCAGAAAATCCTGGTAACCATTCGCTGACGTTTCCTACGTTCTTTATCCATTTTCCCCGATACTTTCCGCTGGATAGCCGAAAACGTGGTAGGCGTTTCTCGTTGAACGAAAAACTCTACGATGGCCAACTATGGGCCCATCGTCGGACCTCGATCGATTCCTACCCAACGCAGGGACACAGGGGGCGATGTATCCGATTGCAAGTGCTCGGTTTGGGGACCGAGAATGGTGTCCCCGCGGAATCGATGGAAGGGCGAAACGCCGAAGAAAAACCTTCGAACCGAGTAGATGGAAGTAGATCGATTGGCGAATGAACGTTTTACTTACCAACCGTTGTCAGAAGCATGTTGTCCAAGAGCAGAGCAATGGCCACGATCACGAGAACCAATCTTCGCGATTCTCGACATCGTTGTAACCAGCCGCTCCATTCTCCGCCGCCCATCCTAATTCCGAGATTCGTGTCTTCTTTTTCACCGGATAATCTGCGAAAGGTAGATGGAATGGAAAGATAGTGGAAACGATGGAAAGACGCGCGCGACGGATGTAAAGAGAAGGAAGCGGTGGTGGCGTGGTAATAGCGTCGAGGGGAAAAGTCGATGGAGTAAACTAATTAGCGAATCCGGATGTGGTTGCGGGTGTGCAGTGGATAACAATGGTCCTTTTAGCCACGTTTATTCGCGCCATCTCCTATTGTTCGACACGCGTTTCCTCGAAAGGCGACCTTTTCCTCTTTGTTCGAAGATTCCCCGTTGGGGTCGATTTACACGGCGAAAGGGGGGACTGCTGGTGGAAAATGGAAGAAATTGGGGAAGAACGTAGAAAGTGGTAAAAATAGTAGACTATTCGAACTTCCGGCACTCGACTCGAGCACTTTTGATCGGGTATAGAGAGCCGCAACGATTCTATATGCCACGATCAGAGAACGAATTCGACGCGTCGTTTTTCAAAGCGAACAAGAGGGGCAAAAGGGGAAGGGGGAGAAAGGAAAAGGGAAAGAAAAGAGGAAATGGCGACGGCGAGATAGGGAAATAGTAGCGCAGGGTATAGAGGTGAGCTGGGACGGGGTATTTGAACGGATTCGGGCGTCTATCCGTAGATGCCGTGCAACGATCCTTTCGTAAAACGCGCGAGCATCGACGAATCGGACGCGGATCGTTCGATGCCTGGGTTATATAGAATTAACGGCATTAATTGGTCGCTTTTAACGGTATCTCCCATGAACCGCGTGGCGCAACTATTCCACAGGCGATGCCCTCGCCTCTCCTCTTTTATTCGTAATAACTCGATTACCCGATGCTTTCAGCTCGGCTAATTTTCGCACGCTACCCGTGAATAGGAAACCATTAAGGCCGTCTAAAGCGGTAGCCGGGAACGCGATTCCTACCACTTCTCTCCTTGTCACACCTCGTTAAAACGCCGCCTTTTCTCCATTTTCTTTTTCTTTCATTTATTTTTCTATTATTTTCCTTTCCTTTTCCTCCTCTTCTTTCCTTTCTTTCACTCTTTCACTCTTTCACTCTTTTTCTATTTTTTCTCTACTTTTTCTACGAGACTACCCGAAAGAGAGGGACTCGCGCAATGCGTCGGGGAAATAGAAAGAAGACGGGGGATGATGGTCGGCGTTGGAGAAGACGGAAAAGCTGGCGAAATGGTATCCCTGGCCAACCCGTAACGGAGAGAATCGGTTCCGCGAGATAAGCTTCCTTTCACTCTCTCGTTGGATTATTTCACCGCACCGTACACGTCTCTCCATCATCCGAAGCGACGCGACCACCGGTCGATCGTTTTTATCCGTCTGGTCCACTCGAGCAGAGGTTGGTCCAATTTTCGATCTATCCGTTGGCCCGGTCTATTCGAAATTTCGTGCAACGCTCGCATACGTACGTAAGTAAGTACGTAGCGTATGTCTTTCCGTAGGGATATTGGATAATACGAAGTACGCGGGTGCCCGTTCGATGGACGAACGAAATACCGATAAGACGGTAGACGGACCTGTATCGTCGAGCGATACGAAGGGCGAAGAAAAACGAGCGAAGAAGAAGGGAGTGCCACCGAGGGAGAAAGAAGCAGAAAGAGGGAGAAAGAAGGAGAAAGAAGGAGAAAGAAGGAGAAAGAAGGAGAAAGAAGGAGAAAGAAGGAGAAAGAAGAATCGGTAAGGAAAAATGGGAGCGGAGAGTTGGTAACGGTGGTGGTGCAGGGATGATAGCGATAGAGGGGCGTGGCGGGAGATGGTGGTGGATTGCAGAGGGATGGCAGAGGGATGAAAGCAGGGTAGCACGGGGCAAGGAGAAGGAGGTTAGGGTTTGGGGTGGGGTTCGGGTTGGGGTAGCAGTGGAGAGAGAAGCAATCAGCATTTTCCTGAAAGCCAGGTCCCCTGGGTGCGTGCATTATTCTCGGAAAGAACCGAAGAAGATTTTTCTCTTACCACTTTGGTGGTGGACTCCCATACTTTGCTTTTCGTTCTTTTCGTCGTGTTTCATTCTCTTATCTGTTCGGTAATTACGACGAAGAATGACCGCGAGCAGTTCCGTCTCTACCTACGAAAGGTCTTTACCGGCTTTCCCTTTTACCTCTTTCGCTTCTTCCTCGTCCTTTCCCTCGTCCTTTCCCTTCTCCCTTTTTTCGTCCTTTTCCAGACCAAAAGCTTCGCCTTCGACGAATACAATAGGCAGAGAGAGAGAGAGAGAGAGAGAGAGAGAGAGAGAGAGAGAGAGAGAGAGAGAGAGATATTTAATAGAAAACGGAGAACCGACTTTTCGAAAGGCAGAGGCCGTTCGGGTGATGTTTAATCGGACTCGTGGTTCGAATGGAATTTTCGAGAAGAGGTGTATCGCGTGCAAGCGTTGGGCGCTCGTGAATGCCTCTGGAATCGATGCTTGGAGTACGCGTTATCGACGAGGAATCTAGATGCTGTCGAAAGGGTTCGACACGGTAGTGGGTTTGCGATTGACAGTTTAGTTGGCTTCGCGTTGATGAAGTGACCGTGGAACCAGCGAGACTCGAGTCCGACCTCGTTATCCCGATTCGATGAACGCGCGTACGCGTTATCACGCTGCTCCTTCACCATATCGGCCACCTCCGCGCCACTCCACTACCCTTTTTCACCCTCCCTATGAACTCCACTACCACCCTCTTCCTATTCCAACCTAATCGACGCCGGACCCTCTGTGTTCCGTCCATCTCCGCTCCCTTCCCTCGCGAGCGCACGAACACGCGCACGCACACGAACAGTCTCGGTGCCCACGTCTACACGCTACTGTACACACCTATCGTCCTTATATACCTATACTGATTTTCTGCTTTCATACGAGCAACGCGCAACGCGCACCGGGCAGCTACTCGGTATACCAACTCTGTTCGTGTACGCGTACCACGAAGAAAGAGCCGTGCTAATAGAAAAATCGTGTCGACCGTCTCTCGAGTATCTCGATTTATCATACGATCGTACCGCCGCGTCTCTCTATACCGTCTCGATTGTCCTCGTCCAGTCGTCGCCTTTCCGACCGGTAGCCTCTAACTAACCGTGGTAGCCTCTAACGGTGATAGCCCCTAACGATGATAGCCTGTGACGGTAACCTCGACCAGCGCGATAACGAAAATCACTCCTCCACGTTCTCCACAGAGTTCTCCGCGAGTTGCGATTTCCGAGAAGCGAGGAGAACCCTTTGCGCGCGTCGCGGTAACTCTCGCCTCTCCTATAAACTTAGTTTCCACTTTGAGAAGCAATTAGTACCGCTGCCAGACCTAACCCAAACCGGAATAGCACGGTTCCGTCGAATGAATGGCTCGCGATCGCGTATCTTCGAGACAACTTAATAACGCCACTTGGCTGGAGTTTGCCGTGGAAAACGTGCACGCGATTAATCCCACACGCCATCCGTCTCTCTCTCTCTCTCTCTCTCTCTCTCTCTCTCTCTCTCCCCCTCTCTCCCCCCCCCCCCTTCGCGCAATCGACTTTTCACCGAGCAACAGCGTTACGGCGATCTCGCGATCGGATCCAGATGAAAATCCAATGGCGCGAGATGCGAAAATTCGGCAGGAAAAGTGCATATCGAGGAGACCCGCGTATATCAGAAGGGGCAAACTGTTGCTTCGCGTCCCGACCAGTGGAATCCGTGCGAGAAAACGATTAGCCGGCGACCGATCGATTCTCGTCGTCGCTTCAAACTTCTTAGCCATCTCTCCTTTATTTTCTTCCTTCTCGCAAACAGCCCACCTTTTCTTATTCGTCCCTCCCTTTTTCCCCTTTGCGCCGCTTACCTTTCTCTCCGGTTTTCCTATTCTTCGCTTCGAACCGCTTCGTCGTACCACGAAAACTCTACGGATTATCCAACGTCTCTATGCAAACTTTATTTCTCTCCCACTTTCTTTCTCTTTCCAACCGTGCTATAACGTAGTACTCGCGTAGAAAAGTATATCGCGCACGAGAAACGCCGTACAACGATAACGTTGTTAACGAGAGACGATGGTAACTCGGTCTACACGCGGATCATTCCACGTTTACACGGTTCTCCGTTACCGTCGGGTAAACGGCAAACACCGAGATACAAATGTCATCGTCTCGGGAATGTTTATACACGACGAAGGAGGAGAGAGAGGAGATGAGAGGAGAGGAGAGGAGAGGAGAGGAGGGAACGACGATCGTGTTCAACGGTGCGACGATAGCGAGCGGTGCGATTATTCAAACCAGTGAACTCGAAGAAGGAGAAGGAGCAGAAACTTTGCTATTCGAGACAAACCCCGCGATGATAGAGGCGATGATAGAGGCGATGAAAAAGGGGCGGCAAGGAGAGGGAGAGACGCGGAAGCGGAAGCGGAAGCGGAAACGGAAACGCGTCTGTCGCCAATACGGATACGAGGGAATACAAACAGGAGCGCGAAATAAAATTACGCCTGCGACGTGGTTTAAACGAATTTACGAGATTCTCGGCTACATATCGCCAACTCACCCCCGGTCTTCTCGCCATCTTTCCATTCCCCTATCGACCGTTGCGCCTCTTGGATCGATACAAACTCGGAGACGAGTTTATAATCGGTAAAGTAAAAGCTCGAAATTGTAAAAAGGAAGGAACGAAGGAACGAAGAAACGAAGGCAGGAAGGAGTTAGCGGGAAATGGAAATAAGGATAGAAAGGTAGAAAGGAAAAGCGAGTTGGAGGGAGAAGTTGCCTTCTCGGTTACCGGGTCTGGCGATCGGGTAATCGCATTATACCTGGTAATTACGAGACCGCTCGCAGTGCTATGGGACAAGCCTGTAGAGCTCGGGCAAAGTACCAAGCAGGGTTATGCAGATTGCTTTATAACCTTGTTACCGATCGCTCTATTAACTTCGCGAGCTTGATACCGGAAACCGTTTTTCTTCCCTACCATTATCGAAGAGATACCTTCCGCCAACTTTTCGCCTACTTTCCGTCTACTTTTCCATTACCACGCGATTACGGAAAGGGCAACCAAACGAGTTTAATCGTACATACGTTCGATACGCCGGGAAAACCCTGTGGAGAAATCCTTTTCCACCGTTTTCGTTCCGTCCTTTGACCAACCGCGAAAACCCAACGCGACGACGCAACCACGACGATTTCGAGTCGATGACAGTAGTCGCGCGTAGTAAAATCCAAAGCGAAATGTCTGCAAACGACACGCGGAAATGAGAGAGAGAGAGAGAGAGAGAGAGAGAGAGAGAGAGAGCGAGCGAGGGTACAACAGCCTGGAGCGTGAAACGAAATCGAGCTTTAAACTCGACCGCGACGATTCGTGATTAAAAAAGTATATACGCATTGTAAAGTAACCGAGGGCAAGCGAAACGAGAGGAAGGAAAATTTGAAGGAAAACGAAACGAAAGGAGGTAGTAGGATAAGGGTGGGGTAAAAAGGAATTTCCTCTCGTCTGGAACGGGATGGAAGAATAAATGCGAAAGAAGGGCGTCGACGACGATCGAGCGAATCGAAAAATTTGCTCCGACCTTTCTTTCTCACTCTTCCGTTTCATCGACCAGCCCGAGTCGCGATCGCCACTTTACCGTTCTCGTTTCGTTTCCACTTTCGGTTAATACACGAAGAAAATTGTACCGCGAGACGCGTGTCGGTCTCGACCCTCGAGCTAATATAAAATCCGTGAACGGTGAAAGGCGATTATTTGACCAAGGGATAAGTAAATAGAGGGGAAAGTAAATATGGGGAAGAAAAGAGAGAGATAGATTAAGATTTCTTACCTATGGCTATGTTGCGAGTGGATGAACGTACGGCAAAGTCGATCGAACGAACGAACGAACGCACGAACGCACGAACGCACGAACGCACGAACGAACGACGTGGGAACGAAGAAAAAGCAGGATATTCGGTTGGTCGAAATGGATGCAATCGCTGGTGAACGGCGATGTCGATGTCGGTGTCGACGACGATGACGATGACGAGGAGTATGTCGACGACGAGCCGGTTAGCGAGGAGTAGCGGTGCTTCCAGGTGGAAGCGTCGCGGCCGATTGAGAGCGACGATGGTGGCGAGGGTGCATCTCACCCCGATTTTTCCGACTCGGGGCTCGGTCGCACTTTCTGCCTACCCACCGTCGTCCGCATTCGCGTTCCGCGTTCGCGTTCGCGTTCGCGTTCGCGTTCGCGTTCGCGTTCGCGTTCGCGTCCGCAACCACGTCCACGTTCGCGCCTCTGCCACTTCTTTACCCGTCCGCACCTCTCTCTCTTCTCGATCCACGAAGATCCAAAGTCCTTTCGTTGCAAACTCCAAAGCGCATGGTCCATAGCGCCTCCGGAAGCCCCCACTCTTCTCCTTCGCTCCCGCCCCTTTAACGCTTCTCTTTTCGCCCTCTTCCCCTTCGCGTCCGAGTCAACCAACCACCCTACCCGCGCGCCCCATTCATCCCTACTATTCCCCACTTTCTTCGCTTTCCCTCCACTCCTTTTTTCTTCCTTCCTTCCTTCCTTCCTTCCTTCCTTCCCTCCTTCCTTTCTCCGACCATACGTTACACGCACGTTACACGCATTTCCTACCTCTACCTTTTCCTTTTTCTTCTCCTCCTTCTTCTTGCTCCCCTGTGCCGCCACGTAGTCGGACGCGGATCGTTCGCGATCCGATTCCACTTGGCGCTGTGTCGTGCTGCTTCGAGATCTACCGGATAAAATGACCGTCCGGCGGGGGATGAGGGAGAAAGGAATCGGTGGAAAATTCAGCGAAGAAACGAAGCCGGTGGCGGCGAAAATGGGTGCGAAAGGGGGAAAAGAACGGAAGGGAGCAGAAGGCGAGGCATATGCGTGGTGGGAACGCTATTAAGATTAAGATGTAAGAAGGGTGACGGAGAAATACTATGGGTAGTATAGGTAGTAGTGGACGAACGGTATGCGACCCGAGGTCGAATGGAACGCGAAGCGTTCGTAGAATTCTCGATACGCGAACGCGTTGGAACCGGCGCCGCTTTATTAAACCGGCTTTCATCGCGTTCCAGAAACCGCGTCTTCGGCCCTTTTTTCACCCGTTAGCTATATACGCGCGCGACTGGAGAAAAGATGCGATCGATCAAGGAATGCGCGCAGGACGAACCGTGGAAAGATTCCGGCTGGATTTCGCCAACAGTCGTAAGCAGAGTGGCGAAAGACGTGTAGTACGATGCAACGATTAAACCGCGAGACACGCTCCACTGGCGTGTACCTACCGTGCAAACGATGCCTTCGGTTACCACCTGTGGAGCCAAACGAGAAAGCGATATAGAAATTCCGAGCGAGGAAAGCGAGTTCACTTGTTGATTTTAGGAAACTCTAGGGAAAACGCGCACCAGCTGCAACTTGTTGCTAAACCGGCACGCTTTCGCTCCCTGCCAATCTCCTCCTTCCATTTCCCGGCTGCTTTTCCTGCCATTCCCATTCCTCTCCTTTACCTTTCCGCTGCCTTTCCGCTGCCTTTCCGCTGCTTTTCCGCTGCCTTTCCGCTGCCTTTCCACTACGTTTTACGCCCGATCGCGCCGTTGAGAAACGCCGACCAAACATATTCGCCAACTCCGAACTAGAAAGAGATAGAGAGCCTGTCCGCGACAGACGCTTCCCTATCTCGCTATTCCTATCTCCTGCGTAATTAATTCGAGAAGGAGAACTGATCGCGGCAGAGACGTTGGCAGCGACCACGACGACGACCACGACGACGACCACGACGACGACCACGACGACGACGACGACGACGGCAGCAGCAACGATATAACAGCACGCGCAGAGTACCAGCGATCGCATTCTCCATAGATTGCCTCTTACGCTTCGGTCCATCTCTTATCACTCTCTCTCTCTCGCTTTTCCTCTCCCGCCTTTCCTTGCCTTCTTCTGATTCGCTGGGAAAAATAACTCGACCCGATTGGAAAGATTCGAGAGTCGAAACACCAAGCTGACAGTAATCGTAAGAACGATGCCTGGATAATACCGCGGTACGATATCCCGGATATCGCGGGATTACACAAAAACTTACTTAACCGGTAATTGTCGAAGGATACGGCGTATGCCCCGACATTCGTCATCCACCCATTTATAGGCTCTCTCTTTCCTTTTACCTCTCGGCTCTCGCCTTTTTCTATATCTATAATACACGTATATGTATATGTATATGTATACGTATATACGCGAAACTGAGACGTAACTCGGCGTAACGACCTCTCGAAGATGTCACTACTACGTACCTCGAGCAACGCCGACGAGTCGGAAAAGTAGCGAATGGACAGAGAGACGTGATGATCGATAGGGAGGCTAATAGCGTTTCTCGGACGCAGCTTCGGCAACTACCGTCGACGAATGGAAACGTGGTTTTCTTTCTTTTGGCTAATATCGGGAAAAGCGCGTGTTTGTTCGATCGCGTGAAACGGCCAACGATGGATAGATGGCGTAGAACTTTCCTCGGATAAACCGACCAAATCGTACATCCTACCTATCTATCGCGCATTCTATCATCTATCTCTCAACAGCAAGACTGGCGCAAACTTTTCTTTCTCCTCTTACGAACATTCGTCCTGCCACGAATCGAAACGTTTCGCATGGAACGCGTGAAACGTTTTAACTCCAACGATCGATTACATCGAAACCCTTTCTCCCATCTCCTCTCCTTTTTTCTCTTATTCCAACCACCACGCGACTTTGCCTCCATTATTCTCGTCTTTCCCGCTTTCCCCTTTTTTCCTTTACGCTACACTCAACCTCGCTCTCGTTCCACCTCCATCCGCCAAACAAACGCGAAAGAAATTTCAAACTAGACTTCTATTTCAACGTATAGTTCCAGTTTTAGCTTATATTCTATTACCCGTGCACGCATATTTGAAACATCGATACACGGTTCTCATTGATTCAATGGACCAACCAACAAATTATCTACGTGGTTCGTTCGTTTGCGCCAACATCCTCAGTTTATACCTCGAATCATGGTGAAGAACGAAACAGCCGCGGATATCATCTGGAAAAGGAAACCACGGAGAATCGAAAACGGTACGGTACAGTAATAGTAAAGAGGCACAGAGAGAGAGAGAGAGAGAGAGAGAGAGAGAGAGAGAGAGAGAGACGTACAGAGGCAAACGTCTCCAGGGAAAGCTGAACGAATTTCCCAGCTGTCAGGCGAACCGGTCTTTGACTCCTTATGATAAGCATACTGGTCAATATCTTGGCATTGTAAGGATACCGATACCACGGGATCGAATAGGCGGCACTGGCAATATCTTCGCTCTAAAAAAGGAAAAGAAAAAAGAAAAGAGGAAAAGCAACGAAAGGAGGGGGAAGAAGAACGTCGAGGAAAATGAAGAATCCGTTGATCGATACGATTTCGCATACCTTGGACGAAAGGACATCCGCGGGCCAATTGCAGAGTAACAGTTGAGTCATAAAGAGCAGCAGTTGCGTGACGTATTTAATCTTGTCAGGGCTGTTCTGTTCGTATCCGTGAAATTCGCAACGGTACCGCGTGGTTTAAAAAGAGAAGAAAAGAAAGAAAAAGGATACATACCTCGAACAATTTAAAACCGATCAAGGATATGTTGTACGTGCTGCCGAGTAATTGTATGAGAAATATGAAGTTGGTAAAACGTTCGATGGTCTGGCAGAATCTGAAAGATAAAGAGAAGAGAAAAAGAAGCGTAATTTGAGGTATACGCGGTCGACGAAAAAGGGTTTACAAGGAGAATGTAAGTCCTTAGGGTCACCGACTTGATTCAAACTTTGCAGCTTTCTAGGTATCCTCGTGCAGTTTGAAAAAATATATCATTATAGCGGTAATTACTCGATAATTTTTCAGATATTTTCGATTAAAGTGTTTTTAATTACGTTTTTAATTACAAATTTATTTCCAGTCTTTCGCAAACGAAGGCGTGGCGCAACGCTGGTGTGGTCGAAAGTTTCTATGCTGTGAAGGATCGGGGTTCGATTCCCCGTGCATAGCTCTTTTTTTTTCGTAGCTTTTTCAATCTATTTTTTATTTTTTCTACATTTTTCCGTATATAAAAGCATTGTAAATAAAGAATTGTAAATAAAATTTCTTAATAAAAAGATTTATTTTTTACGCTTTCTTAGGCAAGTATTTATTTATTACAAAATAATAAGAATATTATACAAGAAAAACACTTTTCCATAGCAATGTTATTCAATACAGGAAATACGAAACCTATCGCTCATGTAAGTATTAATTATTAAATTAAACATTGTATAAGAACGTTGTCTATAATTGCAACTTTACTGTGCAGCTACAAATGTTCATGAATTAATTGGAAAAACTTGGAAATTTATTTATTTTTCTACTGCCGAATTGATTTTATAAGAAGTGTTGGGAGCACATAACCAGAAGAGGTATCGAGTTGGAATAAAAATTTTACCGCCTGGGATCAGCGCCATCTATGATCTGGGCTCAAAAATCCAGAAAGTAATAGGAATATAGAATAGGCCAGGAGGTGGTCGAAGACACTTGTCACGTGACAGTCGAGGACAGAGAGGGGATAGAAAAGGATAGAATGGCTCCGACAGTGAAAAATTAATAAATTACTCAATTTCCGTAATTAATTTATGAACTTTTCTAATTTCGTTGCAAAGCTGCAACTTTAGGCAACATTCTTACGTAATTTTCGTACAGAATTGAACTCTAAATTGTTAATTATTAATTATTGTTTGATGGTGTCCACGATTTCGTAACGACGACCATCACGATCTTCCGTGAAACTATTTAATACTAAACGAAACTAGAAGCAAAATGTGATGAAAAGTTATATGAGAAGATTCGCAAGAACATTGTCTTTCTAACGAGTGCATAAAGTTTCATAAATTAATTTCGTAGAGGATAGTAATTAATGAAAAACCAATGGCGTCTTCGACAATTTTCGACAATAATTCAAAGATTTCGTAGAATAATTATTAATAATTAATTAATTAGGGACAAATTTCTATGGAAAAATATATTGGAAAGTTCGTGAAGGATCTGGCTTTACGATGCAATTATAAAAGTTCATAAATTAATCACAGATATTGAGTAATTAGTGAATTTTCTACTGCCGATTTGATTTATTAAAATATATTCGGAGAACATAACCAGAGTTAGTAAGCTGACATCAGAGGCATCTATGATTTTATAGTCGAAGCTCGGGTTCCGCAACGAGAACAAAGATGGCTCTGATGCCAGTTTACTAACTCTGGTTATGTGCTCCGAATATATTTTAATAAATCAAATCGGCAGTAGAAAATTCACTAATTACTCAATATCTGTGATTAATTTATGAACTTTTATAATTGCATCGTAAAGCCAGATCCTTCACGAACTTTCCAATATATTTTTCCATAGAAATTTGTCCCTAATTAATTAATTATTAATAATTATTCTACGAAATCTTTGAATTATTGTCGAAAATTGTCGAAGACGCCATTGGTTTTTCATTAATTACTATCCTCTACGAAATTAATTTATGAAACTTTATGCACTCGTTAGAAAGACAATGTTCTTGCGAATCTTCTCATATAACTTTTCATCACATTTTGCTTCCAGTTTCGTCTAGTAATAAATATTTTCACGGAAGGTTTTATTAATTTTTCACTGTCGGAGCCATTCTATCCTTTTCTATCCCCTCTCTGTCCTCGACTGTCACGTGACAAGTGTCTTCGACCACCTCCTGGCCTATTCTATATTCCTATTACTTTCTGGATTTTTGAGCCCAGATCATAGATGGCGCTGATCCCAGGCGGTAAAATTTTTATTCCAACTCGATACCTCTTCTGGTTATGTGCTCCCAACACTTCTTATAAAATCAATTCGGCAGTAGAAAAATAAATAAATTTCCAAGTTTTTCCAATTAATTCATGAACATTTGTAGCTGCACAGTAAAGTTGCAATTATAGACAACGTTCTTATACAATGTTTAATTTAATAATTAATACTTACATGAGCGATAGGTTTCGTATTTCCTGTATTGAATAACATTGCTATGGAAAAGTGTTTTTCTTGCATAATATTCTTATTATTTTGTAATAAATAAATACTTGCCTAAGAAAGCGTAAAAAATAAATCTTTTTATTAAGAAATTTTATTTACAATTCTTTATTTACAATGCTTTTATATACGGAAAAATGTAGAAAAAATAAAAAATAGATTGAAAAAGCTACGAAAAAAAAAGAGCTATGCACGGGGAATCGAACCCCGATCCTTCACAGCATAGAAACTTTCGACCACACCAGCGTTGCGCCACGCCTTCGTTTGCGAAAGACTGGAAATAAATTTGTAATTAAAAACGTAATTAAAAACACTTTAATCGAAAATATCTGAAAAATTATCGAGTAATTACCGCTATAATGATATATTTTTTCAAACTGCACGAGGATACCTAGAAAGCTGCAAAGTTTCAACCAAGTCGGTGATCCGAAGGACGCACTCTCCTTGCTAGGAATAATAGGAACGACACACTTACTCGAGCAGTAACCTATGACAAATTACGCATGTTCGTAAGTCTTTCGTATATTCCAGCTCGAAGGTTGTTGCCGCGGCGCTAAAGGCAAAGGATCGTTGATCGAAGAAGCGGAAACTTTCGATTCGGCGTCGAATCGTCTCCAAGTAGCCACAGGTGACGAAAATGAACATAGGGCCGATTGTGTCTATGGTGACGAAAGTGCAAGTGACGTTCATCATGATAACGATCTGAAAGACGTAGGCCATCTCGTACCACGGTGTTTCTTGTATGTCAATAACGGTGAAGTATGGCAAACGTCGTCGATTATCCGTGGTTGGCGAAAGAGGCGGTTTGGCGATCGGTGTGGAAACATTAAGGCCTGCCTGTGCGGTTGACGATATCAGAAATAAATATCGCGTATTTAATATAGCCGGATCGATCTAACACGGTGGAATCGAACCACACCAGGACGATGTAACAGGTTATAGTGAAGATACAGCTAGCCAGGTAACATCGAATCAATTGTTTGCTCTTGTTGGTGTAATTTTGCACGAGCTTCTTCTCGTCCGGCTTCAAGATGGACCAGAAAGACTGGCAAAGGTGCAACATGGTTCGACAGGTGCCGCGAGTCCATAGCAGTATGATAAACCGTATTAGGCCACATAGCATCGGAAAGATCATCGAGAGCGATTCAAAAACGATGCTCGAATCGGAGATATTCGTGGCCAATTTATAAAAGTAGGAAATACAGACGATGAGGAGAGAAACGAATGCGATCGTCGCGAAGATATCTTTACCGGTGAAACGTTTCTCGCGCGCAATTATACCGGACAGTTCCAAGCCGAATAAATTCAAACGGATCGCCGCGTCGAATTCGTCTTTGCTTTTGTCTTGGCCGTTCATGCTTGGCTAGCGGCTGGAGAACTTTGAACGTTAACCTCGACGAAAATTTTCCACACTCCCCTGTCACGCGACTATTCGCGCGGTCTTTCTATTACCTCTCCCTCGGTCTGCCAACCGCGTTCTCCTATCACGCTCCTACTCTGCTTTCTCCTTCCCTCGTGCTTTCTTACTTTTGCGTGGCATGGACGAAACGCAATACATGAATAGGACGCGTGGGAACGCGCAAGTCGCGTTCGCGAATTACATGTAAACGAACAAATGGTAAAACGAACAGTCGCGACGGGGACAGGGGTATACGATATTCCGACACTGGACGTTATCTATTATTACGATAAATTATTAGGAGAAAGTAAAGGGTCAAAGTTTTCCGACTCGGAGAAACGTTTCCTATCGCGTGGGAAGAAAATTTCGCGCGAAGCGAACACGCGAGATCGCGTATGCATGCAAGAACAATTTACGATACCGTTTTCGTCATCCAAGCGAAAAGAGAGAGGGAGGGAGGGGGAGAGAGAGAGAGAGAGAGAGAGAGAGAGAGAGAGAGAGAGAGAGAGAGAGAGAGAGAGGTCGTAAAGAAGCAACTATCGAGCACCGAAGACAACGAAGCGTTATTCGCATCGTTGGTCTACGCGTTCACACCAATGTTTGTCGATCGTTCGATTCGACGGTTGTCTTATTACGCATATCGGTGTTTCGAATACGTCTGCGTATGCAATGCCCACGTACGGTATAAACCATATACGTATATATATCGTAGGAAAAATAACTGCAACTATCGGCGGGGACAATGACCTGGCCCACCCGCGACCAGGTAAAAGCCAGTATCGTTATAAAAAAATGCTCGAGAATCGGCCGTATGTATCGATACCGGTTAATAAAGCATCGTTGAAAAGTAACTTAGAGATTCAGATGGAACGTACCCCTTCGTCTATCCGCTTACGATACGTATCCAATCGCACGTATGGGTAATATATAGACAAATGGGATATTGGAGAAACGCGGGTTGAAACTGCGGAGAAAGGTTTGCGAGGGACTTTTCGCGATGGCGATTGTTGGTTGGACGCGTCGCGTGGCGACCCCGCGAGGACCGAATACGCGAACCGATTACCCACGGAGGGACGATAACGAGCTGCATCGTAGTTATCGACGCAGACACCGACGGACAAGTGTCCAAGCGATGCTGGAACAACGACGTTGCTTTCCGACGAGGGATGGCAGGACAGGAGGGATGGTAAGATCGATCGACTCTCGGCAGAAATTACACCCCCGTGTGAACATAGCCGCGTGGAACCGGAGCAACGTAGAAAGCGGTGGTGGAGACGAAAAGGAAAGGAAAAGCAAGGAAGGGTGGGTGGGGTCGCGATCGCGCGGTCGCGCGTTCGTTCTGCTGTTCTAGGAAGCCGTGTCGCGATCGCAGTACCCAGCCAAAGTCGCGCGAACGGTGAGCAGCAATCGTCGCGCAGAAGGAAAGGAAGCAAGCAAGGAAGTAAGAAAGGAAAGGAGCAAGGGCGGAAGGAAGGACAGACGGACGGAAACGTAGGAAAGGAGAGCCGTGCATCGTCGAATCAAACGTAATTCAGAAACGGATCACGATGAATCGTCGTTGCTTCGTTCCTTCCGTATTTCGCGCGATCTACTACCTCGACGCGTTCGTGGATACGTGATTGGTTGGAAATAACGCGCGATCGTGACATCGATACGCCAAAGTTGCCGACGAAACCTCCGGAACGTTGGACCTACGTAAGTTGAAGATAAAACTAATCAAAAGCCGAACGGGTAATTGCGTGGTCGATAAGCCTAAGCGTCGTCGAAATATCGATGTTTCTCCTTTTTAAAACCATGGCTGCCGACCTCGAGCTCGTCTCGCCACAGCCCGAGCTTTTGTCCCGGACCTACCTGCCTGATCGATATTTTACGCAACCCCTAAGCTTTTCTCTCTCCCTCTCCCTCACCCTCTCCCTCTCCTTCTCTCCTCGTTTTCTTTTCCTACGCGTACGCGACCACATTCTCCATCTCGCCATTCCACTATGTTTTCTACATCGTTCGTCGCGTTTTCCACTTTTCGTTTGTCGACTTTCGATCCACTCCTCGCCTCGAAACGCTCCTTTTCCATTATACGCATTGACGTCTCGACCTTCTTCTCTCTCTCTCTCTCTCTCTCTCTCTCGCGCGCCCGCGCGCGCGCGCGCTTTATACGTATGTATTCTCATCCCCTTCCCCTTTGTCCGTATGTAACGACGATAGCGAAGAAACCGCACGAGACGACGCGAGAAATAGAATTTGCCGGTTTACCTTGAAACCGATGCGTGACCGACTCGCGAGAGTCGTCCGTCCAGTCGTTTGCATCTACGCGTCAAACGAATTAGCTGAAACACGACGCGTAACGCGGGATCGCGAACGCTTTCGTTAACCACTGGTTCTGGTCGTTACGATGGTTACACGCTCGCGGTTTTCTATTCGCGAGTAACCCGCCAGTATCAGCCGGGGTAATGCCAGTGGCAGCGAGCACGCTCGATTCGCTGGCGCGTTATTAGCTGGTTTGAAAAGAGAAAAGAAAGGAAAAAATACGGCGTGAGAAACGACTGGAAAGAGTCTCGAGTCTGAAAGTGTCGATGGCGCATAAAGTTTCGAGCTTCAGTTCGAAATTTCCATCTAAAAAGATGAGAACGCGAGAGTATATGGACGTAAAGCGAGCAATGGCAAAAAGAAGAACGAAGAATAGAGAGGGAGGACGAGAGTGAGAACGAGAAGAAAGGCGGCAAAGGCGAAAGCGAAGGCGAAGGTACGAGAGACGAAGCATGCCAGAGAGAGAGAGAGAGAGAGAGAGAGAGATCGGGACGAAGAGAAAGATGCGATCGAAGCTGTGTGACAAAGTGGCAAAAAGGAAACGGGGGAAGGTCGGAGCGTTTTATCGTTGCTCGCGTTGCTTCTTCCGTGTCGAGTAGCCCGTCGCGCTTCCCTTTTCTCCTCTTGCCCCATTCCTCTGCTTCGTAAGATGAGGATATCGCGGTTAACTTGCTCACGGATGTCCGCATTGTTTCGCGTCAACCAGCCAACTCAGCTGACCTACATTGGCTGGGCACCAAGCAAAATGGGATATCGAGCCACTCGATGCTCATCCGTGGAAAACCACTCGCTATCCCTAGAGAGAAAGACGCGGTCGCCGTGGTTGAGTCTTCCTTCGTTATCGGTCTTTCTATCTCTTTATTCGCGTTCGCAGACTTTCGATCGCAACGAAACGGAAAAAGTGTGAAACGCGCGACTGTGAAAGATTCCGCTCAACCGATCGACTAATAATCTACTAATTCCAATCCTACGCATCGTTTTGTCCCCACGTTCGTACCTATGCGTAAGTACGCGTGCAAGTATGTACCTTGCGTTTCTTCCTTTCTGCATATTTGCGCGGCAAAAATTACCAGCGTACCAACGACCATGGAACGTAATAGGAGGATAATAGAAGCAAAGAGGAAGAAGACGACAAAACTGCGACGCGACGCGTCGCAACGATTAGACGACGATCCACGACAATCGGCGATCAAGGTCGATCGCGTAAGCCGCTGCCAGACATTTCCTATCTTTTCCATCGCTATCGTAGTACCTCGTTAATCCCACTACCGCTAATCCGTACCTTCTCTTCCTCTTCCTCCGCCGTTTCTTCTTCTCCTTCTCCACTTCCTTCTTCGCTTTCCCCTTCCAACTTTCTACGAGTCTGCCGCGTGCCATACTAAAAATAAGTTAACGCCGAAGCGAATCGTCTTTCGTGCACGCCGCTATGAAAAGAAGAAAAAACGACTGAAAGAAATGAAAGTGGACCTGTTCGAAACGCGTTCTTTTCGAAACTGCTGCGTAGCTTGCGTTGCTCTTCGATAAAAGGATAGCCGAACCGCTCGCAATCCTTCGAAACAAACCGAAATACCAGCATCCGCAAAAGGCGAAAGGCGAAAGGAAAAGAAGCAATAGCATCGAACAATCGATCGTAAATGATCGTGATCGTCGTGGTCGTGACCGTCGTCGCTGTCGTCGCCGTCATCGTCGTCGCGAATAATTCTCTTCCGTTCTTATTCCTCCGTTAACATTTCCTCTACTCCATCGATACGAATCGTCCAGTATCCAGACTAGTAACGAGAAAACAGCCTACTCTATAGCTGCAAAGAAAAAAATTACACTCCGATTTCGAGTAACCGATAACAACCGAGATTCGAATGCCAGTCGTAGACGCCTCTGAAACGCCCCCCTAAACGCCAGTCTTTTTCACTCGCTTCTTTCCCTTTCCCACTGCGACGAAATACCGAAGACACGTTCCTTCTCACCGATTCTCGTATTCTTTTCTTTTCTCTCGTAGATTTCATCGAAATGAGGGACCATCGTCTGTTGCGCCTTTTCTCCGACAAGAGGTAAGACGTCTCAAAGTTCTTTACGTCGATCCTAGTCAATTGTTGCATCGATGTCGGTGTATGTCGCTACGAATGTCCTAGATCAACGTAACGATACGTCTTCAGCGTAATCCGTGACAGCGTTGAAAGGCAAAGAATAAATGCAACGCGTAAAACGTGTCCCTTCGAACGGTGCAATTTTTCTTACCCTCCTTAATTAGAATTAAAATACCCTCCACTGTAATCCGTCACGGTGATAAACGACGCGTGATTCACAATTATCATTAGCATTGTATCCAAGGCATACGCATTCCACTGATCAATTCTATCTTTGCTTCTCTTTCAGAACGGACGCGTGAAAATGCCAGAATGAGAGGTAAGCCACAACGTTGAAACTCGTTCGTAGCTCGTTCGACGTCGTCGTCGTTGTCGTCGTCGTCGTCGTCGTCGTCGTCGTCGTCGTCGTCGTCGTCGTCGTTGTTGTTGTTGTTGTTGTTGTTGTTGTTGTTGTCGCTGCTGCTGCTTTTGTTGTTGCTGTCGCTGCTACTGCTGTTGTTGTTACTCTACTACGTGGAAGTAGAAGAGAAAAAGAAAGCTAGCGTATAATGCTATTTGGTTTAGTTAACAGCGAGATTAGGAAATATATATATATATATGGCATTTGTTAAAACTTAGACGGTGAAACGTTTTGCAGGTGTTGCGTTTCTGGGAACGGTCAGATCGGTTCGCGGAAATTTCCTGAAGACGCTCGTCTTCGTTTTCCTGGCAACGTTCCTGTGGCTTCAACTTCACGTGGTCAGCTTGACCGGTCGAAACTCCACTGGACAAGCCTCGTCGAACGAGACGCTGTTCGCCCTTGTACCGCAAGAGTTACATAGGTAAATCGGATCTGGTAGAAAACGTGTCCTTCCGACGTCACCTCGTGTCGTGTGCGTTCGTAAGAACGAAACGGAGGTGAAAAAGGAAAGGAAAGAAAGGGAAGGAGGAGGAGGAGGAGGTGGATGAGGAGGCGAAGAAGAGAAAGGAGTGGAAGGGAAAAAAAGAACAAAGTTATTCCTTCCAGGTTTCTGAAAGATCGTCGGAACGGTTCTTCCTCGACGTTAACCAATGGAAGCACCGAAGCTTTGACCGAGTTGGAAATAGCGGAGATTCGACGTAACATAGATAATGCCGAGCAAAAAGTGTACAACGAAGAGTCTTTCGGCCCGTTGGCTACCGACGCTCCCGTCATAGTGATTCAGGTGCATACGCGACTCACCTACCTCAGACATTTGATAGTCTCGTTGGCCCAAGCGAAAGGAATCGAGCAAACGCTTCTGGTCTTCAGTCACGACGTTTGGCATCCGGACATCAACTATCTCGTCCAAAGCGTCGACTTTTGTCGCGTCATGCAAATATTTTATCCGCATAGCATACAGACTCATCCTCGAAGTTTCCCAGGCGAAGACTCCAACGATTGTCCTCGAAATATACGCAAAGAACAGTGAGTATAGTCCTCTCGATTTATTTGCCATCGCGACTGCCATTCGCGCCGTTTTCCCCATTTCCCACATTTCCAGTTCCGTCCACTCCCTTTTCTTTCTCTTCCCTTTCTTCCTTTCCATCCACTTTTCTTCTTCCTCCTCGCTATTTTTCTTCTTCTTCTTCTTCTTCTTCTTCTTCTTCTTATTCTTCTTCTTCTTGCACCTCCTGTTGCCGATCGACCGCGTCGCCTACGCCACGGGTGTGCGCGTACTCGCAACCCGTCTCAGAGCTCTGAATCTCGGTTGCATCAACGCCGATCATCCGGACCTCTATGGACACTACAGAGAGGCCAAGTTTACGCAGACGAAACATCATTGGTGGTGGAAAGCGAATCACGTGTTCGATCAATTGTCCATCACCAGGAACCATACCGGCATGATCCTTTTCCTCGAAGAAGATCATTACGTTGCCGAAGATTTTCTGCACGTTCTCAGTCTGATGGAACGTACCTGTAAACATAGCTGCAAAAGATGCAACGTCCTATCCTTGGGCACCTATCTCAAAACCTACAATTATTTTGCCGACTTTAGTCGAAAGGTGAGAAACTCGCGCCGAATCGTACTAATCGCTCCAATCGCTTCGATCGCCCTGATCGTTTTTAATCGTTCTAATGCCTCTAAACATTCTAATCGTTTTAATCGCTCCAACCGCTCCAACCGCTCTAATCGCTTTACCACGCGTTCGGTGCGCGAATTCGATAGCTCCTTCCCTGACAGAATACATGTAGTATATACGTACATATACGTAGCGTGTACAGTTTGCCGATTCCGTTTCGATCACCGTTTCGATCTCCGTTTCGTAGTCGACCGTCCACTTTCGGTCTTTGCGATTCGTTACGATCCAGTTTCATACGCGTTTCGTCCTATGGATCGATCTCTCTCCCCTCTCCCCTCTCTCTCTCTCTCTCTCTCTCTCTCTCTCTCTCTCTCTCTCTCTCTCTCTCTCTCTCTTTCTCTCTCTCTTTTTTCTTTTTCTCTTGCTCTTTCTACCATCGATCCTTCCTTTACCCCTCCTCACACGCTCTCCCTCTCTGCACTTTTTTTCCTCCGTTACGGTAAATGTTCGTGTCACCAAGGTTCTATCGCGGCAAAAGAGACCAAGGGAAGGAGAGACAGACGGCGATAGGAGTAGGTAAAAAGAATGATAGAATGATAGAATGAATAGTTACGCGGTTAAAAAATTGCCGCGAGATCGCGACCGCGTATGAATCATTGGGTGTATACCTGTGTATGACGAATCGTCATCGTACCGAATCACCAGCACGATTTCAGTATGAATATCTGTGTGTCGATGTTTCACGCTCGCCTCGTCCGTTAGTTCCTTGGCGTCAACAGCGCCCTGCAGAAGGAGTTTCTGCGTGGGTTAAAGAGATGGGAAACGTCGACGAGACAACACTCGGTAAAAATCGAAGACGTCGGTAATGGAAGAATCGGCACATTTCCGAGCTCCGGCAGCACCAGCAGCAGCACCGGCAGCAGCACCAGCACCAGCACCAGCACCAGCACCAGCACCAGCACCAGCACCAGCAGCAGCAGCAGCAGCAGCAGCAGCAGCAGCAGCAGCAGCAGCAGCAGCACAAGCAACAGCGGCGGCGGCGGCATTGTCAACAGCGGTAGCATCAACGGCAGCAACAGTAGCGGTAGTAGCAGCAACAATAGCAGCAGTTTCAGCAGCAACGGTACTACTTTCCCTGGATCAAGCAACTCGAAAAACAACAATGTTAGCGGAAATGTGATGGATGGCAACACTGGCCCTGCCACCTTCGTATCCGTCGCTCGCAACGCACAGACAATGCAATCTCCATCGGCATGGGCTTTCCAGCTCCTACCCGAACTCTACAATCATTATCAAAAGGTTGCCGACATCTTTCGACGACCCTCCCCCCTTTCCCGTTATGCGCGCAATTCTCTCCATTTCTCATCCCTATATCGATAGTACAAAGTCGGGCGCGCACGTGCGCACGCACGCGTTTTTCAGCTTTTCCTGGAAAAAAAGAAAAGAAAAGAAAAGAAAAGAAAGAAAAGAGAAAGAATTTCTTCCTCGTCCGATCGATTTTTCAACAATCTTGCATCTCCTACCAATGCGACCTTTCGATGGCTGCCGAAGGAATTATCCATAAAATTCACAGAAAGCGCAACAATAATAGACAACGATTAACACGAGCTACCTACCTTTCGTATCGTAGATAGGAAAAAGCCATCGTATAATAAGCAATCGCACAGACGCGCGTGCGCGCACGCGCTAACGCGCACCGATCGTTCCGCGATTTTCCTAATTCATTTTATCCTCGTTACCACGCTATCGTTGCAACTCAAAAACTTTGTCTCTTTTATTTCGTTCAGGCTGAAGTGATTCCTTGGATCTCGAGCAAACACAATATGGGTATGGCGTTTAATCGTGTCACGTGGAACAAATTGAGAAAATGTGCTGCCCAATTTTGCTCTTACGACGATTACAATTGGGACTGGAGCCTTCAACATATCGCGCAGACCTGTATGCCACCGAGCAAAGGAGCTGGAATCGCACCTCGTACGGACTCAGGTTTGATTACGATGATGATGAGAGCGCCTAGAGTTTTTCACATCGGAGAATGGTAAGTAGAGTCGGAAATCTCTTCCGTTTACTCTTTTTATTCTTCCTACCCTCTTTTATCCGTCCAACTTTCTTCCACCACCACCACCACCACCACCACTACTACTACTTCTACTCGAATACCGTTAAAAGCAAATTTTATCAATGTTTCCGATACCAGCGGAGTTCATCACAAGAAGACCAATTGCGAATCAACCGCTGTGATAGCAAAGGTTCAAAACGTTCTAAAGGCTGCTCGAGAACATCTTTTTCCTACTCAACTCACCCTTACCGTCGCTGGTACTGCGAAAAAGTCAAAGCTCAGGAAGGGCAACGGTGGATGGGGCGACACGCGAGATCATCGGCTTTGTTGGAACATTACCGTTTATCCGGATCTTGTTTTACCCTGAGATCAAACTCTACGCCACCAAATAGTCGGCATCGAACTTTTCTTTCTCCTATCCTCCTCCCTGCGTCTCTTTCTTCCACCCAACAACAACAACAACAACAACAACAACAACAACAACACCTCTCTCTCTCTCTCTCTCTCTCTCTCTCTCTCTCTCTCACCACCTCGTCTCCCTCAAAAAGCCGTATCTCGCTTATCCTGTTTCGTTCCTGTCCTCGTTTTATCTCATCCAGTTACAGCTCTCGTGCAAGATGCTCGCTCGAACAAGTTCCTTCGTGTCCACGAATTATTATTGTTGTTGTTATTATTATTATTATCATTATTATCATTATTATCATTATTATTATTATTATTATTATTATTATTATTATTATTATTATTATTATTGATCCCACGGTCTATTATCGGATCGCGCGGTATTCTTAGCGGCGTACTTACGTACCTTTATACTCGTACTAAATTCTCAATGCGATTCGCGCGAGGAAAGCACTCTTTGCGCTTAGCGATTCAGCTCTTAAACGAATTGACATTTTTTCCATCTTCGGCGATACAGAGAAACACGCTTTCAACGTATTCTAGTCATCGTGTCCGATGCGCAACGATAAACGAATAACGAACGTTCTCTGCTGCTCGGGACGAACTGTATACGCACTTGGAACGACTCTCGGTAAGAAACCAAAGCCATCCACGAGTCTCGAAATCTACATAGGATACGTTTTATATTTGTAACGAGAATCAACGAAAATAAACGAATCGACCGATTTTCTCGTATCTCTTGTGTCTCTTTCAACATTTATTTTCTCATTTCCCCGTCTTCGTCATCTATAGCTGCAATACATACGTATATACATGATATCTCGATTAGTCCGGCAATCGTGTTCGAACAAACGTTCAGTACCATCACCCCGATACTAATAAAAATAATATTCTTCGTAAACCGGTTGCGCTCCACTTGCTCATCAATTCAGGATCTCTTAAAATCCTAAAAGCTTCGCGTACGTGGGCACGTTATCGTCGTACTCCGATCTCATAAAATTCCCTGCTATTGGACCTTCCAGATTATATTTCTCTGCAAACTTCTTCACGTTGAATCGTTTTCGCTGCGGGCCATCCCTGCAATTCGCATCGAATGATAATCCGGTAAACGGATATGACGTATAACGAATTTATTACAGCCTCTTACCTATTGCTCAGTCTTCTCTCGTCGAACGTAATGGACCCCTGATTCTGTTTGTAAACGAGAAAAACATACCGATGTTTCCCGCTATCCTTCGGCGGAGCTGGACCAACGTATTCCGCTAGCACCTCTCCCTTCCCGACATCTTCTTCCGGGATATTTCCAACCAGCCAATGTCGAAATTCTCGATTGTATCCCTTTCTAGTCGGTGCGTCGGGATCTGCGTGCCACGAGAAACACGTTCGCGTTAATTATTTCTTAGCAGCTACCACCTCGATCTACGTATATGTACGTGAAATCTTGGACCGATCAGGAGGAGCTGCCAGCAAATTCAAACGAGAAACTAACAGAGACGGTAAACGAAAGAAACAGGTTTATTCGCATCAACTCGGTGAAAGTCGTCACGAGTCGTAACGGGAACGAATATCGGCTATGGCCTCCAACATGCTTAAGCTTACCTGTCATTACGAGCGTGTAAAGCACTCCTCCTTCGTGTTTGTAACGTATTTCTGGAATTTTTTGCGTCATCGTCGGAGTTAACTCATTTCCAAAATCGACCACTTTATCTCCGTATTTCACCTAATATTTCACATTCATATGTACGTTATTACAGTCGAATATGTACTAGCTAGAATTTATTCGCCGCGATACACGACCCCGTACTATTTTCTCCTTTTCGTCGCATTCATTTTTCATTTTTCATCTTTCATTTTTCTTTTTTCTTTTTTCTTTTTTCCTTTCTTCTTTACGAATAATTCCGTGTAATACGTATGCGTTTACTACTACTCTTTCCGATACACACCTTTACGACCGCGTTTCTCCCTCGAATTTAATTAATTCATTTAAATATCATTGTGCAAAAAAAAGACTGTACCTCGATCTTTTCCACCGGTGCCGTGTCCAATATGTCTGGTACGATTCGCGCTTTCGCGAACTCCGAACGTGTATCTGTACCCATAACGATATGGATACCGCAGCTAAGAATTCCTGTAATATATTTTTATTTCCCGTTTACGTAGTACATCACCAATTCCAAATCGATCCAATTACTCCAAATCTGCACCCATCCTTCAAATCAATCAAATTAATCAAACATGTACACTTACCTATTAGCGTCAAGTACTTCATCTCTCTCTCTCTCTCTTTCTCTCTCTCTCTTTCTCTTTCTCTCTCTCTTTCTCTTTCTCTCTCGTCTCGTTATCACCGTACACCGAGTAACCTCCACCAACTACGACATGTCCCACTTTGCACAAACGTTTTATCCCACCGACTATCCCCTCTCCTCTGACACTCGCAACTTTTCAACAATTCTTATTATACTGCCCCTTTTCTTTTCGTTTCTCCTCCAACCACTGCCTACGCTTACCTCTCTTTTCCTATTTCTTCTTTTCTTTTTCTATCGCAAAGTAACGCCTCTTAACCCTACATATAAACCCGAAATTTTACATATACGAAACTCGCAAGGAGAGCCCAAGTCCTTCGGGTCATTGGTTTAGTTGAAACTTTGCATTTCCTCTATATAATGATTATTTATATTTTCCTCCTCCTTCTCTAGCAAATAACATTGCTATAGAGAAATATTTTTCTTGCATGATATTCTTATTATTTTGTAACAAATATATACTAGCATAAACAGGAGTAAACAATAAATTTTTTATTAAGAAATTTGATGTACAATTATTTATTTATAATGTTTTCATAGGCGAAAAATGAATATAAAATAAAAAATAGATTAAGAAAAACTACCAACTAAGGACGGGAATCGAACCCAGGACCTGCTTCAACCACCGGTATAGGAATTTCCCAATGTCGCCATTGGGCCACAACGCTGCTTCTTCAAAACTGTCGCAAATAAATCTGTAGTTAAAATGTAATAAAACTTTAATCACAAATATTTCAAAAAGTATGCAGTAGTTGCAGCTATAATTTCCTTTTGTATTATATTTTTGAACTGCATGACGAAATCTACAAACCTGCAAAGTTTCAACTAAATCGATGACCCGAACGACTTGCACTCTCCTTGTCAATACAAAACAAAATATACGCACGCGTCTAACTACTACGTATTTAAGCTGTTAATTAACCAAAGTGTAAAGAACAGAAATTCGTATTACGTGAACATGCGTTTAATATTAAACTTTATACAAAGTATCTGTGTATTCTTCATCTACACAAGACTGTTCCTCTTAACCAACAACCTCTTAAGCACCTAGTTGCTTGTAAAGAAGCGGAACATAGTCGTCGAATTCAGCTTGATACATGTTGCCCGCAATAGGATCACCCAATTTGTATTTCAACGCGAACTTTCGTATGGAAAAATTCCCACGATTATCCCCGCTTCGATTAGTCAAACGACGTTCGTCGAATGTCAGTTTCTCGGGCTGTTTATACAATAGAAATACGTAACGATGAAGTCCTGTTCCTTCTGGCGGGCCTGAACCGATGTAGTCCGAGAGAACTTCCCCTTTGGAGACGTTCGAGCCGGGAATATTTCCAACTAACCAATGATGCCATTCGCGAAATTTTGGATTCTTACGACTCGGTGCATCAGGATCTGTAATGTACATCGTAATTTCGATTCGATTGGTTAAAACGACGCGTTTTCCATTACGAATATAAACGCTCTACGATCATCGGAATACGTACCAGTCATACAAAGAGTGTAATACGCGTTTGCATCGGCATT